GGTGGCTTGTTGAATCTAGGCTCTTTGTGATCCCATGCACTCCCATATGCCTCTGAGTGATCCTACGACCGAAACAGATCCGACCTGCCTTACCTGCGCCGTTACAAGGGGGTGTGTTAGATTACATGCAATATTTAGGTAGGTGATAGATTCCAGGTGCTTAATCACACCTGGATTCTGTGATTAGTTAGGGAGCACGGGCTAACGACTGCTCTAAAGGGGCTCTAACCATCTGATCCATAGACGGCAGTACAATCAATCGATCCACGTCTGATCCATCATAATCACAGTGTTTTATCACAGTCTTTGATCTAACCCATCACAATCTGACACCTCTATTCTCTATTTGCTTAATCTAGTAAGCCTATCTACCACGCTAAGAGAAACGCTAAACCTAAAGCAGCGTCTAAAATGGAGAAAAGAAACGGAGAACCGAACAGGCCCTTAGTAATATCCCATTGAAGTGCGGGGTACTCTATAAAAGCTACCCACTCTAACTCACTCTACAACACACGTTCATCTCACTTCACAATTTATCATCTCAAGTACACTTAAACAATCATCCCTTTGAAATATTATGACTGACAGCAACTTGGCCCTGCTGATTGACGGGGATAATGTCACGCCAAAAGTCATCGCCGGTCTTTTGGTGGAAATCGCCAACTACGGGACCGCTAGCGTTAGGCGGATATATGGGGACTGGACCAACCCAATCATGAATGGTTGGAAACCATGTCTTCTAAATCACTCAATAACACCAATACAACAGTTCGCGTACACTACTGGAAAGAATGCCACCGATGGCGCCATGATCATCGACGCGATGGACCTTCTATACACTGGCCGATTCTCGAGCTTCTGTATCGTATCAAGCGACAGTGACTTTACGCGCCTTGCATCTCGAATCCGCGAGCAGGGTGTCACGGTCTATGGCTTTGGAGAACGCAAGACCAACAATGCTTTTGTCGCGGCCTGTGATAAGTTCATTTACTTTGATGTCCTCAGCACGGGATCTGAGGAATCGGGAGTATTGCCACATGCCGCCGAGTCATCGAAGCCAGGCATAGCACCGATGGTGGTGCGCAACCAGCCAGTCGAAAAGAAACCGATTGACGACCGAGCACGCGAGGGGATATGTGTTGCGATTAGGAGATCTTTCAGTTATGGCGATGACTGGGTCAACTTGGCTGAGGTTGGAAACTATTTGCATAAGATAGGGCCTAATCTGAATGCGCGCAATTATGGGTATGAGCGGCTTCGGGAGTTTATTGAGGCTACTGGAATGGTTGATATCAAGTACAAAACTATAGACAATAAACCGCCTATTGTCTTGGTTCGTCTCAAAGAAGAGAGAGAAGATGTAATGAGGTATTAAGTAGCTTAAATAATGTACTAGACGCTGCAGCTAATTGTATGCTCTTCTTGAGTGTATAGCACGGGCGCAGACGGATCTTCAATCATAGATTATAAAACATTTGTATAAGAAAAACCATGTTTTTCGTCTTAATGCTCACGTACAGTAGATGAGTTCCATTCTGGCGGGTGTTACGCTGCAGTTACATGTGCGTTACTATATGCACTAATAGTGAATAGCATGATTGAATTCATGAAACAAACTATGCTCCTATACCTTATGTGGAGGCGCTCGGAAAAATCACATGACTGGTGGATAGTAATGCCACCTTTGACTCGCAATAAAAATAGATGCCAACTACTTCTGAAATCTACCAATCAAATTCGTGAGGATTGCGAGCCATTCAACCGTACCTAGCCAAGATCCTCGATGTCTTCATTCTCAGACGGGGACGAAAGCGTTACAACATTTGGTCGCCCATACGGTACATACACCACTTCATCGTCAGAATACTGTTCCTCAAGCTTCTCCTTGGCCTTCTGCGCTGTCTTTTGCTTTGCTTTCGGCGTTGTTTTCTTCTTCGGCGTGACCCTCTGTTTCGCAATTGGAGTATAGTCGCTTTCCGACTCACTCGTTCCACCGACATCTGGAATTGGAGAATCCGGTTCAGTCGCCTTCTTCGACTTGGTTTCGGGCTTTGCTTTCTCCACTTTACTCCCTTTGACCTTTTTCAGCGCCGGCTTCTCCCTTTTCGGGGTCGCCTTCTCAGCAACAGCTTTCTTGGGAGTAGCCTTCCTGCTTTCGGGCTCAGCTGCGGGCTTCTTTGATTTCTTTGGAGTTGACGCGTCTGCGACTGTAGTGTCTGAGGGTTTTGCATTTCCTGCGCGTGCCGTTGCTTCTTGTGTGCGCTGCAGTTGAGTCTCATTCATATTTCCCGGAGCCGCTGCTCTCTTCGGCATTCGGCGCAGAGGTGCGGGAGGTTGGTCGCTTGCCTTCTTTCGCGCCATAGTAGTAACGATTACGCAGGATAGGCCCGATGGCTTAGAGTAGGTATGTGAACCTCGAATTGGTATTGGATGGTGCTGACAAAGCGATGCTGTTTGCTAAAAAGCTGATAGACAATATCAGGAGAAAGTCGTGAGCTGGATACTTTTATGTTGTGAGGCGCAATCTGAATACTCTAATTTTAAGAGTAGGCCGGATGCGGTACAATGGTTGTGGACAAAGCCACACATAAAGAGAAGCAATGCTCGACCACAAAGGAAGCAGAATTTGGGCAAAGACGCTTTGTCTTCTTCGACTACGCTCGAGAACAAAGTTGGGAATAGGACTTGGGTAGGCTGGCATGATAGCTGCTACCTCTCTTATACATCAGTGGCAGGGTCTTGAGCATACCCATGTTTTTGCTGGAATGTTAGAAAGACGCATTGACTGAGGCAGGAACAGATAGGTATTAAGGTTATACTACAAGATAGAAATCCATAACATGATAATTCATGTGCCTACGCCTGCTCTGTTTATTTTCATGACCTTGGAAGACTCAGGTCGCGACCGAATGCTGGAACGCCAGAACCGCAAACCATATGCTCATCGTAATAATACACCAATATTTCGACAACAGTTAAGAACCTATCCGGCAAAGGCAAAACGCGCAAGATTGAACAAAGGCTTCCGTGGCGAGCACACACTTTCTGCATCGCTATCTGGCACAAGCAAGTCTTCACTTCCTTTCGGCGATGATCGCCTCCTTTTTGCAGGTGTCACAGGGGGCGGTGAGCTCGCAGCTACAACAACCTCTGCCTCCATGGCCGTCCAGGCAGAATCTGCAAGATCAGCTTCCTCGTCTGCGGGAGGCGGTGTTCCGGGAAAAATCGGTTCTGCAGGTGTTTCAGGAAGTGATGCTGAGCCCGGCTTGAGAGGTGGTGGTTCAGGCTGCCATGCTTCAGTATGCCGCCTTTCCAAACGTGCTTTGGCAGGTCGTGGCATGGATGATGAAGGGACGGGTGGAGCCTTGTAGGCAAACTTTGACCGCAAATCGCTCAGCTGAGAGGAAATTGCAGAGCGAAAGACAGACTCGGGTTCTGGGCTGCCAGAAGATGACGCTGGTGTGAGTGAGCCAGGCGTCTCTTGAGATTGAGAAGTACCATCTTTCGAAAACACTGTTGATTGTGACGCGCTTCGTATGCTTGATTGCGTCTCACTGAACACCCGCAGCTTTTTCTTTGACTGGGATGCAGTCTGCTCCAAATCAGCGGCCTGTAGCATCACCTCCTCGATTGAGTCATCCGAATAGGGCTGCAAATCCTGGTCAGTCTTTCTTCTGCTCTTCTTCCTCCGATGCAACGTGGGACTCGGCTCTGGCGTAGACGATGTAAAAAACTGGCTTCGAACGACACCCTCGTCGCCCGCAGTAGAGGCATCAAATGCAGAATCTGAACAGAGTCGGGGCCTCTTAGACGGGTGAGGGACCGATCGCCCTCCAATGGGATCCGTCGTAGTGCGCCTAGGCTGAGGCGCCGTGCTAGGAGGCGCCGGGTACTGTTGCTGCAATCGCGAAATGGGAGCTGGTACTGCAGCCCAGCTAGTGCTATTGCGCTGCTGTTCAAGCAAGACCTGCTGGCTTGGCGAAGGCGTGAAGCAGTTTGGGCTCAATTCAGCCAAAGGCGTGCGCTTGGGCTTGAAGAACGAGTCGATCGATTTGTTACTCTTAGGGTCAGGAGTTTGTACAGTCGTAGAAGATCTTCGAGAGGGAGGCAACGGCTGGGTCATAGGTTTGGTGTTGCTGGCAATGTCCATGGGAAGCTTTGTGCGCGGATACAGGTCACCTCGTGCAACACCTGTAGCGATGTGTGACGGGACCTCCTCTCCAATGTAGGGCATAGCAGCGATATCTACCCCATCGGCAAGTGGTGTTAAGTTGACCAGCTTCTCCTCGATGGGGCAGTAGACCCATTGGTACAAAAACGTCTTCTCTGCCTGGTCGAAAGACTCCATAAAGCCAGGCGGCACTTTGAACTTTCCGTCAAATTGAGCGGCCTTGACGAGGCGATCCACGGTCTTATGCTTGCGCAGCATCCGATGGGCAGTCTTTAGGCCAAGCCCTCCTATTCCGGGTAGGTAGTCGCATCCACTCAGAATGGCCATCCTTCGGAAGTCGGCGTCGGACCAGCCTACAAAGCTGACTTCCCTGCAGGCAGTGAAGTGGTTCCGGTTAACCTCGATACAGTCTCCGTACTTGTCCAACTTCGTAATAAGACATTTGACACCAAAGACGAGCAGATCCGAATCTTCCGAGAGAACGCCGTTGATGATTCCCTTGCGTTCCAGGTACGCCAACTGAGAATCAGCCTCATAAGGCGCGACGACGTACTGAATGTTGTTCCGTTTCAGCTCTTCGATGACCATACGCGCCATTTCTGGTGTCACGTCCACGCTCTTCTGCAGCTCCTGTTGCGCCTGAGCCATCTTGCCAACTTTCAATAGTTCCAAACCAAGCTTCTTGCTTTCTCTCCTCCTTTCTCTTCTACCCTTCTCAGTACCCGCTTTGCTTGGTAGGTTGTCGCCATCGAACACTAGGTAAGGGGTGACACCGAAATGGATGAGCATGCGAGCACGATGCATGACAAACTCGACATATCTAAGTGCCTGTCAGTATTGTTTGCATCCACTGGACAAACAGCTGTATACTTGGTGGTAGGCTTGTCCAGGGCCAGATCGATAGCGCAGGCAGCAGTGGCCCGGTGCAGCCAGCCATATGTATCCACGCCAATAGTCTGGCCCGCATATTTCTTGAGACTACATGGCTTCTGGACTGACTTGAGCAGTGGAAGAAGACCTGATTATGGATTAGAAACATCGCGCAAACGATTAAGTACACTGACCTGAGATGCCCATTTTGGACCCTTTGCCGCTCACGCGTCAGCCTAAACAACGGCTCCAGTGCAAACACTATGACAACATGCTGGTTTGAAAGGCAGGCGTTCATGCAAAAGGAGCTCCCTGGAACGAGTGCTCGAGAGAGACGAAGAGAGAGAAAGAGCCGTCACGATCTAAATGCAGCAGTGGAGCACTCATCGCGGGTACACGCCCCATGGCAGGAACGCGCCCCGCTAAAGACGCGCTAATCCCACTCGGCCCACTAGCGTGCTTTTCTGCTACCGCCGAGAACCGACCCATGTCCAAAATTTCTTGCCCCCAACCACCGCCAGGACTGGAAAACAGCAAAGCAGTCAAGATGGTCAGCAATCGCCTCGACAAGGTGTCCAAGAAGATTACAAAGAAGAAGGGCAAGAATCCAAACTTGCACGAAGGCAGTCGCGATACCAAGCGACTACAAAGCGCTGCGCAGAGAGACGACAAACTCAATCGCCTTAGCAAAATCAGAGAAAACCAGAACCGCACATATTGTATGGATTCCTGAGTGCATAGTATGGATGTATACAACAGTACTGACGTGTTGTAGTATCTCGGATAAGAACTTTCCAGCAATACACAACAGAGCATGAATCGCCACTAAGCGTGGCCGAAATCCAGGCCATGATTGAAGATTATGTAGGCCGAGATGATGAAGAGCTGGCAAAACTCAAGGCAGACCGCCGTCCCGGACGACCCCCAAGCACGCGCCAGAATCTGCTGGAAATTAACCAAAAGACGGAACGGGACGAATATGCCTCTGGCTTCTGGGTGCCCGATCTCGAGGACCTGCTGAATCTGCGCAAGCTAAAAGAGTGGAATGGAACGTGGGCGCAACTGGCCATGCTCAAGTTCTGCAGGATTTCAAAGGACGGGTTCAAGCGCGAATCGAGTTTCCCACCAAAGGGAATGTCGTAAGCGATGGCATTTGCCTGTCTGGCAAACCATGGATTGGAATTCCGATCGTCCATTGTCGATGCTCGGCAATCAATTTTCTGGCCCAATTGGTAATCCTGCACTGTCTTTGCAGAGACCTGTGCTTACTTCATGGTTGGCTGCTGCTCTAATTCCTTTCTTCATTATCCATGCGCCGCTTGCAACCCTGATGACGACATGTCCGCACGGAAACGATTGCGGATCCTTCTTTAGGGACACTAACCTCAACCGAGCTCCCAGCACCTTGAATGTGAATTTTTCAAAATCTACACGAAGTGCGCATTCAGCCATCATCACTCCATTCGCCTACGAGTTTGTCATCGCAGGACCATCTCTTCCGTGAATATACCAAAGGATCATCGAGAATATCGATGGGAGAGAAGTGGGAAAGGGCGACATATCTGAGAAGTCAAGAAATTTCAAGTCAGATGGATATTCTGGCACATCTGACATCGGATATAACGCATGAGAAGTGCCATCCAGCTGCATTCTGAGCCACAAGCTCATCTCCGCCACCGTGGAACAAGACTGAGAGAGCAAAAATCAAAATCAAATGAAAAACATTCACTACCTTCCGATACAAATCTAATGTCCTCATAACCCCTGAGACTGCTACATTCACATAACCTCACCTGTGCTCCTTGAACGCCACATGCCAAAACTTGGTTCCCACCCACTCCTCCCCGGGATACCCCATCACATCTCTGAACCCATCTACATCTTTGAACCCGGAACTCGCCTCCACGTTCGGCCACCCAACAAACACAACAAACGGCTTTCCCTTGTCGAAAACACCGTTCAGCATCTCCTCCTCCTGCTCTTCTATACTCCACGCCCCAGCCATGCCCATGACAGCTACATCGGGAGTCTGCACCGTCTTGTCGCGGAAAGCTGAGAAGCGATCAGCGTATCCCTGCTCAGGGTACCCTGGGTCGAAGAAAATGACCTTGCACTCTGTGATGGGGGCTGCGAAAGGATTGTTTTCCGGTGAGACCTGTGACGGAGGCAATCTGATGTGGAAGAGTTTAGGAGTAGCCGCTATGAATTTCTCCACTTCTTTTAAAAAGGGTTGGTATGCGGGGCTTTCCATGAATGCTACGTGCGATTCGAGCGAGTCCCAGTCTAAGATGCTTGTTAGCAATGGGTGGTGGCATCTGAGCAAGGGAGAGAAAGGCATGTACCCTCAACTATTTGAACGATATCTGGATGTTCGATTTGTCGGCCCCAGACCAGCTTCTTTGCACCGGGTTGCTTTTTGATAGTGCTTAGAAGGGCTTCCCAGTCTTCTTTTGTCTTGCCGGCTGAGAGGTCGAGACCGGGTTTTAGTTTTAGATAGACAACTTCCGTGGTGGTGCCCGACATTTTGGAACTTGAAGGATATGAAGCACTGTAGAGAAGTGGAAACTAGGAGTAGCCTTCATCAGTACAGTTGCGTGTAACGAGTTGGGTTAGATAGTGTGCACGTGAAACCCCCACTTGCGGCTGAAGGACACGTAAAGGCGGGTTCTCACTGAGCTGAAAAAGTCTGGGGTTCTGATTTTTATCCTATGAGTGATCTCAGCACGCTGACGCAGCGGGTTAAAATATTAGCTTACTGCTTACACTTGAGTATAAGCAAATGAATGAAATTGTACTTAGTTGGGTTCTCTTCACAGAGAATGTAGGCTACTACGTTGTCTTAGAAATCGTTAATATTAGTGAGAAACGACTGGTGTTGATCTACGTAGTTCCGGACATCCGGATTCCCTAGTTGCGTAAGATGGGGTGCGGGGTGTTACCACGTGAAAAGAGGAGTGTTCATATCGATAACGGCAAGTCAAACACGTTCTTCTGAAGCCGGTTTGCACGCATTTCTTAGTCGTAAGAGCGGACGTAAAACGAGTACTCCAATCGCTCAATGCATTGTGTATTAAATCCTAACTCGAATCACCTATCCATGCAATCAATATCCAGAAAGAAACCCGCAATGTCGCACGAACGCTTAATCATACACACAATCATGATCCAAATACCAATCTCAGTCCCGATTCCTACTTAATTGACTTTTGTGACCTTGACTCCTCGGTCGAGGAGCACGTCTTTCAAACCCTTTGCAACTTGCTTCCTCCTTCTGGCCGTCTCCCTCAAGGTATCGATGTTCTCGTCAACCAAATCCGACAAATGAGCAATGTCATTACCATCCGCTGCTGGGCTGCCCTCGGGTGTGTAGAACAGACCGTAGCCCTTGCTAGGAGTTGGTGTATTCTCGAAATCTGGAGTCATAGCGCGACGATTCAATTCGGCCAAAGTGAGTTTCTTGTGGCCGGTTGGAGGTGTAGCGTAAGGCGTCTCTGCAATGCTGCGGCGGAGGCTGGTCGTGCGAGATTGCCTTGGCGTGCCAGTACGGGAGGAAGAGGACGACGGACGACTAGACTCTGCAAGACCCAGTTTGCGCATTTGCGCCTCGAGAATGAGAATGTCATTGTTCTTTTGCTCCGCCAAGTTGGCCAGCCTCAAGACTGTCTTTTTAACAGCTTCCATAGAAGGGACTGCCTTGGTACTGCCGCTCTGCGCGTTATGCGTGGCTAGGCGAGAACGAAGGACGGCAACAGCGTCTTCAGCCTTGCGTAACAATGTGAGTAGCTGAGCATAGTCGTTGCGCAGGTTCTTCTGCCCATCTGCAAGTTCCTTCGACAAGGGTGCTTTGCGAAGTGCCTCGACCTTTTCAGGATCTTTGCGATTGATGATCTGCCGGCGGATGTCGTTAAGGCGAGTCATCAGCTTGGCCTTCTCGTGAAGGAGGCGAGCAAGTTGTGAAAGTTCATCAAGCACATCCTGCACGCGGCCAGCGTCAAGCTCTTGCTCCAGTTGTTCTTCGAGAGACCTCAATGCCTGGATTTCGCACAGACTGAACTGCTCGAACCACGTCCCATGGTGTCCCTGAGACAGAATCTCTTCCAGCATACCTCGATCAATTCGGTGATTAGGTTGAGGTTGCTGGTGGTATTGAGTAAAGGATTTGATCGACCGCGCATTCCACCCAAGTGCATCCACCATGCCATTAATGTCCTTGTAGATCATTTCAATCTGAGCAGCATGACCAGTTTTGCTGGGCGGTTTACCGCCAGTATAATTCTGATATGCAACAAATTCCTCAAGGTCCCGACTGGGCTCAATAGGTTGCGCAAGCTGGGCGCGCATTCTTTCGTCTTCTTCGTCTTCCAGATCCGCAATTTGGGGCTGGGGTGTTGGTGGCTTGGATCCCTGAATAGAAGAGCTCAATGAAGCACCGGGTGCAACTAGGGGCTCACGTCGAATTCGAGATGCTGAGCTAGGACGCATAGGACTGGGTGAGCGAAGATTTTGGGCGCGGTTGGTGGGAGGAAAATTTGGCTTTGCAGTTGCAGATGAAGAACTAGGTCTGCTACCAAAAGGTGCCGGAGTCGATTGCTGTCCAAACAATGAAGAACCTCCAAACGATGGCTGGCTACCAGCAGGCTTAGCGGGGGGTGTTGGCGCAGAAGGGAAGAAGCTTGATTGGTTAGTGAGTTTTGATTGATGGGATTTCAAGGCGTTGTTTGGCGGATAAGTATCGTCAGGCTCTTCGTCGTCGTCGTCCTCAGAGTAATCGTCGTGGTCGTGGTCGTGGTCATGGTCTTCTTCATTGTCAATAGGAGATGCCTCGACCGAGGAACTGGGAGCTTCCACTTCGACACCGGGACTACCAGCAAGTGGGGGCAAATCGTCGCCATTGGATTGCGGGAGCTTGGTGTTGATGAAATCCGGTGGCAGTGGCGCGTCTTCGACCTTGGATAGTTTTGACTTGGTAAAATCTGGAGGGAGAGGAGCATCATCCACAGGAGTGCCGGGCTCTCGTACAGGAGGTGCTGCTTTGGGGGTTGCACTATCCTTGGCCGGAGTGTCGCTTGGGAACAGTTTCTGCTTCGGTGGTGACGCCGGTGTAGTAGAGAGATATTGCGGAGCCCCACTCGCAGGCGTAGCCGGAGGCTTTGCATCCGTCTTTCCAAGCGTGTTGGCAAAGTCACTACCGAAGAACGAGCCATTCGTAGGTGTCGCAGACTTTGCCGAGTCGTCTTCTGCAGTACCATTAGATTTGAATGTGGTACCCAGCTGGAAGCCACCTTTTTGCAGGCCAAACACATCTTGGGATGCTGGGGTCTGGGGGGTCGGTGTGGCCTCATCCCTCTTTCGCTCCTGTGTTCCGTTTGCGCCGCTCATGTCCGAGTCCTTCGAGTCAAACGAAGCCGTGTTGAAGGAGGATTTGTCTGGTTGCCCGAATAACGAGCTGCTCTGTTGCGCAGGCGTATTGCCCCAAGAAGGCAGTGACGACCCGGTACCAGATCCCACGGTGACTGTCGAACCAAAGCTCGATTCACTCTTGAGATTAGCGAAGCCAGACTTTTGCTGGCCCTGTCCAAGTGATGCGAATCCCGAACCTGCCTGTGCTGAGCCGGTACTCCCAAAGCTGGAAAAGGACGACGTCCCCCCGTTTTGTCCAAACTTGGCAAACCCGGAAGAGCCTGTCGCAGTAGTAGAAAAGGGATTGTTCTTGGCATCAGAGTTTTGAGCAGGCGACCCCCATGGCGACGACTTGTTGCCCATACCACCCAGAGCACCAAATCCAGAGCCGCCAGAAGCACCGACAGCAGAAGGGGCACCAAAGGCCGGCTTTGCACCAGCACCCACTGCAGAAGGCGCACCAAAAGCTGGCTTTGCACTACCACCCATAATAGACGTTGCGCCAAATGCAGGCGGTGCGGGTCTCCCCAGCGAAGAAGCAGCACCAAACGCCGGTTGTGGGGGCTTGCTGAGAGTAGGTGTAGGCAAACTTGAAGGAGAAGTCCCAAATCCAGATGTTCCAAATCCAGGCGGCGTTGGCTTCATCAAAGCAGGGGATGGCGAGTTGTGCCCGGCGTTGCCAAAGTGAGGGATGGCAGAAGTCCCAGGCGTGGATATCGATCTACCAAATGGGGTGTGTGACGGTGTGCTTGGCTGTCCGAACGAACTGGAAGTAGCAATAGGAAGTTTTGACACGGGTGTAGAGGTTCTGGGAGTAGAAGATGACTGTGCAGACTCGTTCTTCAAGAAGAGACCTGGATACCGCTCACCAGCTTCAATTGACCGGTTCCACACCACCCACCAAGCTGCAAGAAGACCTTCATGAGTAAGAGCCATGTAAGCGGGCAATGGCCACGGAGCCTCATTGATCTCCTCCAGACTTAGAATTGGGCGCAAAATCTTTTCCTTGCTTGAAAGGTCCAGTGCCTCGCCGATAAAAACGCTGTCCAGTTCGTCTTCTCCGTAGGCTGTGCGCGGCACAGCCGCCTTCCTTGTGTCGTCCACATTGACCAGCATGAGCTCTTTGAGGTTTTGCTGGTCGGGAGAAATCTTGTTGCTTGTAGAAGCGAGTATAGCAATCGAATCGGCATGCGAGGAAGTGATGATGAGCATTTCGTCGAGATCAGGTTTCCAGTTCTTGAGTCGCGTCGAGGAAAAGCGCGCAGGAAGGGCTCGTGGTGGAGGTTCGAATGCTTCGGGCAGAGGGTCCCAGGCAAAGGCGTGATAGGTGAAGGATCCCCAGCCTTTGGCAGATTTGATGACGCTGAGTTTCTTTGGTTCTGGGCTTTCTTGGTCCTGGTCCCTCACAGAGTATACGGCCAGGAACTCCTCCGTGTTCAGCCATGTTACACCCGTCACTTCGTAGGTCTCGTCGACATCTGGAGCGCGAGGAATGACGCCCTTGAGTTCTCCATTGGTCATGTGTATGGAGCAGGTACCGTCGGTTGAACCAGAAACCACAGCCTTTCCGCGGGTGCTCCAGGCAGCGCAGTTGACGTGAGTGTCGCGAATCGTCTTTTTCTGACCATCCGCCACATTGCATATCTGGAGCTTGCCGGAATCGAGGACAATGGCGTAGAAATGCTCGAATTCGGGGTTTGGGTTGGGGAGCAGGGCGCGAACGGGCACGTCTGTTTGTACAATTTGGTCGGCATCCGTTCTTCCCTTGGTGACGATATCGGCGACGCTGAAAATCGAGATGGAGCCCTTTTCTGCTGCGGCGACGACTAGGAAATCGCCGTCGGCCGAAAAGGCAACATGGCGCAGGTTGTCGGTGGAGATGGTAACATCGGGCGTGAAGTCGGACACTACGTCGATGTCGCGCTCCTCGAGGCGTGGATCGTCGGGATTCTTGATGTCGTCGGCGATGGTCTTGCCCTGGAAGGCCCTGCGCACCGAGTCTGTCGATGCGATGACGAGGAGATTGGGGCCAGCAGCTGCGAGCAGGCCGGGCTTGGAGGCAACGGAGAGGAGGCTTGCAGAGGCGGCGGGCAGACGGTCAGCAGGCCATGGCTGGGGGAGAATCTTGACCTTGCGGGGGCCCTGCTTTCCGTTGTGGAGGACCTTGAAGCCTAGGTGCTACACATTCTGTCAGTGAGTGTCGCCTGAGCTGGCGGGCTGCATGGCTGGCTAGCTGGCGGGCTGGCTGCCAGGCATCGATGGCTAACCTCTGTCTCGACTTCGGGCACTTCAGACCCAACTTCCACGGCCGGGGCATGGCTCTTTGACATTCTGCAAGATTTGCAGGCCGAACAGGTTCTGGCGCGTAGTAGGCTCGGCTTGGTGTCGCGCGTAGGAGTTCGCAGCTTATTCATAAATGCATCGGGCGCCTAGCGCAATCGCGCGTGCACGGGCTCAATGAAGCCTGGTAGGGGGAAAGGAACAAACAAAGAGCCGGCGGCGGGCTAGACTGGGACCGGGTGAGTGATGGTGGGTTGGAGAGAGGGCAAGGGCAAGGGAAAAGCGGTGATGTCGCAAAAAGAGCCCGGCGCACCAGCATCAGCACGCATGCAGGCATGCATCCATTAGCCCGTCACTTTTGCCAGACGCGCTTTGTTGTCTAGGAAAAGTCGGGGCTAGCAGCTGGCAGATCACCGTGCCAAGACTGGCGGTCCAAGCTCCTCCGGGCAGGCACCACGGGCTGCGCAGCCGCCTGTCCCCATCATCAGCATCAGCATCATTGTCGCCGCCACCGCCGCCGTACGCCGAGAGGAAAAGACCGTGCGTGGAAGAAGAAGAAGCAGAAAAAGAAGAAGACGACGAAGAGCCCAGCCACACGCTCTGCTGCCAACGAATCCAGCCAGTCGTCCACACCCCCCAGGCCTCACCCACATCCACACATAACCCACCATGGGCGGCTTCGACTTCTCCAACTACAACCGCAATGCGGCCCTCCACGCCCAGGGCATCCCGCTGCCCAAGGCCACGAGCACCGGAACCACCATTGTTGGCTGTCTCTTCGACGGCGGCGTGGTAATTGCTGCAGACACACGCGCGACCAGCGGGCCCATAGTAGCAGACAAGGTACACTCCTCCTCTTCCCCCGCCGTGGACGACGCCATCACGATACAGTCCTAATCCGTTTTTGCCTGCAGAACTGCGAGAAGCTGCACTTCATTGCCCCGCAGATCTGGTGCGCTGGTGCTGGTACCGCCGCTGACACCGAGTTCACCACGGCCATCATCTCGTCCAACCTCGAGCTGCACGCCCTCTCGACGGGTCGCAAGCCCCGCGTCGTCACCTGCATGACGATGCTGAAGCAGCACCTGTTCCGCCACCAGGGCCACATTGGCGCCTACCTCGTCGTTGCCGGTGTCGACCCAACCGGCGCCCACCTCTTCACCGTCCACGCCCACGGCTCCACCGACAAGCTGCCATATGTCACCATGGGATCCGGTTCGCTGGCTGCCATGTCAGTTTTCGAGACACAGTGGAAGGCGCACCTAACGCGGGACGAGGCCGTGACGCTGTGCGCCAACGCCATCGAGGCTGGTATCTGGAACGATCTGGGCTCCGGTAGCAACGTGGACGTGGCCGTCATCACAGAGGAGAAGACGACGCTCATGAGGAACTACAAGACACCAAACACCAGGCAGCCCAAGCAGCGGAACTACAGGTTCCAGCGGGGCACCACGGCGGTGCTCAATGAGAAGATTATCAAGAAGGAGATTAGCAAGTACGTTACCGTGCACGAGCTCAAGGATGACGACGTTACTGGCACAGCGGAGACAATGGAGGTAGACTCATAGACGGAGAGAGATGTGGTGCACAGCATGGCGTTACGAACATGAAGAACATGTACTATACACCGACACGGGGTGTCAGACGGACTCTCTCAGTCCGGATAGCTAAAGGCAATGATCATGACCAACAGATGTGGCGGCCAACACGTGATGCACATGTCTCTTTGTGTCTCTGGAATTGCACAAGACAAGCGAGGTTCTTGTATTGGGACTAGACATTCACGTACTCACTCGCCAGATAATATACACGCCCCAAGAGAAAAAGATATGCCTTTTACAGGTAACATTACACCAAAGCCTCCTGTCCCTCACTAAGGAGTACAGCGATGAATACGTTCCGTCTTCCCATCATCGGTAGGTGGGGACATGCTCTTCTCCCTTTTGTCATTTCAATCCACCTTGCCCCAATCTTTGTTGTAAGGCGACATCCAATACTGTTGGTGCGTTCCCTATCTACACCGCTTTTCCACAATGCCCGCGCCATGCTCCTCGTACTCCTTCCTTGAGATCCACAGCTGGTGGAAGCTGCCCAGACTCGCCAATATACTGCCGCCGATCCAGGCTGCGTACTTGCGCTCTACGACACTGCCCGGCGCGATGAGCTTGTTGCGTGTAGAAGGGTAGATGGAGTTGATTTCGTAGTTGAGGCGCTCGTTGAACTTGTACAGGAGGGTGCTGCCGCCCGTCACGACAATGTTGGAGAGCAGCAGAGGACGCTGGTCAGCGTCGACTTGCTGGACTGCGGCTTGGACCAGTCTGGGGATCGTCTGCTCGGGCTTCGGTGCTGGGCTCGTCTCCGATGTCAATGCTGCTGAAGCGTCAAATAGCCCCTCGGCGGCACGGAACCTCTCGACGCCAAAGACCTGGTTCCAGCCGTCTGGCATCTCAAACGGACGGCCTGGCATGCTCTTTGCCATTTCTTCGTTTGTGCTGAAGCGGCCTGGGCCTGGCCATACTTCCACGACGGATTCCTTGAACGACGTGAGAATGCGCTCCTCCTCGTTCAGCCGGAACGAGTCTGTGGGCGGTGTGGAAAACGTCTTGTACGTGGCTTGGGCGGGCGCGCCTGCGTCGACTGGCGTCTTGCTCTTAACCATAAAGTGAGGCACCAGTGGGACCTCAGGTTGCGCTTGCTTGAACGACAGTCGGATTTGGTCCGAGACAAAGTTTCCAGCAAGAGGCGACTTTTGGACGCCCTTTCGCAATACCATGCCGTCGAGGACAGGCGTCACCGACGTGTGTGAAGCCCCGACATCAATGATGATTCCAGACGCCTTGCCGGATGCAAAGGCAGCCAGCACGCCCGTCTTTTGCAGGAAGAAGGCGGGTGTTCCCCATTCCTCCATTGCGACCTCAATGTACTTTTCCCGTGCTTTTGCGCTGTTCCAGCCGGGCTCTGTGACCAGAAGTGGACTGTCTTCCAGAGGCTTCTCGTTGTTCTCCAGCGCTTCCATGTCAACGTCCATGGCCTCCCCGTTCCCGTTCTCGTCGTTGCCATCGTTCAGCCCATTCTTCTTGGGGTCGGTCGGTTTTGCGCCCGTGAGCCGACTTGTGATTGCATACTCCCACAGCTTGGTCGCAGTGTCCCAGTCCTCTACAATGCCATCCGACCCCCAGTAGTTCTTGATATCCAGGCCGCCAACTGGAGCGTGTATCGCGTTCTCGCCAAAAAGGCGCTCGCCCGACGACGTGTGGCCGTAAAACGAAGGGCACACGGATTTGGGGACATCCTCGCCAGCGAAGCCTGCGCGTACAGTCGAGTAGCCGGGGTCGAGCACAATCGCCGAGACCTCATCTGCGGATTCTTGTTAGCGGGCGCGCGCGGTGGAGCTTTGCAGAGCTGTAGCTACCTCCGGCATACTCTCCCGCCGCGGGTGCGGTCGACGAGTTGGGAATGTTCATCGCGCGCGATAGTTACCGGCGCGGAGCTTCTTGAAATGGATTGGCGAGATATGTAGTGGTATGCCGACGCGTAACTATAGTTTCCAGAGGGTGTCGGGGGTGGCGTGGGCGTGGGGCGGGTGCGGGTGTGAAAGGGAAGCTGTCGCAAGACGCGAACCCCAAAAGTTGAGGCTGCGGACCTGCCCTCCACAACCACCGCACTTGCCCCCGCGCCTCCGCCCCCGCAACACGCCCAGCTACCTGTCTGCCGGGCCCCTGGAAGCCTGGAACATGAAGAGATAGCATAGGCAGAACCATGGCGCTCAAATTCATCCGGCAGCTGTATTCGCTCGACACCCTCGACACTCGCTTCTTTGTACCATCCAACGCACCCCCGAAGGAGGCACTCGAGAATGCCAAAGTCGATCCAGCAGGCCCCGTGCCCGTGAAGGACGGAAGAGAGGGTGGCAGACGGGCAGAGAACAGCTTCCAGCCGGCGCGATGGCATACGGCCGAGTTCTATTTCTACTACGTGGCCATTTCAACTTGCGTCTTCTTCATGTGCAAAGCGGTGCTGGATGTATCTCAGAGTTTGTCGGGCAATTCCACAAGCAAAGGCGCGAGTGCTAATTCCACGTGTAGCATCACATCCAAACTACCCCAAATTCGAACATCTGCTTTCCGAAGGCTGGATACCTGGGCGGAAAGTGGTATGTTGCGTTGTCGCCTGTCACATGCAATTGACTGACTTCTCAGGACAATTCTGATGCCCAGTATTCCGGCTTCCGCCAAAACATTCCCTACTTGTTTCTCGTGGTACTGCTTCATCCAGTTCTGCGCAAAACATACGATTCTTTCTGGCGAGCCGGTACTTACACTCAGGTATCATCGTCAGCAAGCAATGGCCTTACCATGGGTCTTACGCCATCCGCTGCTGCCGACGCCCGGATGCATCAACGTATATCGTTTGACTTGGGTTTCGCCGTAATATTCCTTGCTGCCCTGCATGGCTTCTCGACATTCAAGATTGTCGCCATCGTGTATACCAACTACTGCATCGGAAAAAAGCTTCCTCGGCAGTATATCCCGGCCGCAACATGGATTTTCAACATAGGCATCTTGTTTGCAAACGAGTTTGGTCGAGGATACTCATATGAAACTATCTTGGGCACGTTTCTCCCGTCCACTGTCTCAGAAAAAGGCGAGCCACGGTCCAACTTTGGCCACACGCTCGACAACTACGGCGGCTTGATCCCGCGCTGGGAGGTGCTCTTCAACTTTACGATACTGCGGCTCATAAGCTTCAACCTAGACTATTACTGGTCTCTTGAGTCCCAAGGCAGCAACCCGCTGGAAGTATGGTCCCCGCCTTCCCTCAGTTCGAGATAGCTAATAACATCCAAGAAGAAGCAACTCGACCCCTCGAACCTCTCCGAGCGCGATCGGGTATCCATCCCTGCCAAACCTGATGATTTCAACTTTCGCAACTTCTTTGCCTACGCCACTTACTCACCACTCTACTTGGCTGGCCCTATCGTGACATTCAACGACTACATGGCGCAATGCCGCTACCGGCCTCACAGCATCACCTCCCAGCGTACAATTCTTTACCTAATTCGCTTCATCGTCGTCTTGCTTACCATGGAAATCATGATCCACTACATGTACATGGTTGCCATCTTCCACGAGAAGCCCGACTGGTCTCAGTACACGCCCTGCCAGCTCAGCATGCTGGGCTTCTTCAACCTCAAACACATTTGGCTAAAGCTACTCATACCATGGCGCTTCTTCCGCCTCTGGTCGCTGATGGACGGCATTGATCCACCAGAGAACATGGTGCGCTGCATGTCTGACAACTATTCCGTCATGCACTTTTGGCGCGGATGGCACCGCAGCTTCAACAAGTGGAGTCTGAGGTATCTCTACATTCCTCTTGGCGGTAGCAAGGGGGAGGGCCTTCTTGGTAAGGCAAGGTCAGTGGGGAACTACCTTGCTGTATTTACATTTATTGCCATCTGGCACGACATCCAGCTGCGACTGCTCATGTGGGGGTGGCTCGTGACGCTCTTTGTCCTCCCCGAGATTATCGCTTCCTACATCTTTCCCGCGAGGAAGTGGAAGGACAGTCCCGATGCGTACCGCTGGCTCTGTGGACTGGGTGCCGTCGGCGAGATTCTGATGCTCATGGTGGCCAATTTGGTTGGCTTTGCACTCGGGCTCGATGGGCTGAAAGAGCTGCTCAGCGGTATCATGGGGTCGTGGTCTGGCTGGAGTTTCCTGGCGATAGCTTGCAGTGCACTGTTTATGGCAACGCAGCTCATGTTTGAGTGGCGCGAAGACGAGAAAAAGAGGGGGGTAAATATGAAGTGCTAGGGCTGTGACGGGAGAGAGCGGAATATGTTAAGCAGTATCTCATGTATGACGTGTAGCATTGTAGTGTATAAGACTATCTATCAACTACGAAGGCTTTAATATCCAAAAACTGTGCATGAGTTGTAATCCTGTCAAGTGTGGAAGTGGTTGGTAAGTCAGTAACTCCAGGTCGTGGAAAGTCAGGTGGTGCAAAAAAAGCGGCAAAAAAGAAACGGCAAAAACAGAGTTTCGAACCCTCAACGGGTGAAGTGTTTTCCAAAGATTAGGTAAGTGCAGTGTTGTGCGGGACTCGCGGTCACTTCTGGTAAAAGGCAAGAAATGAGTTCGTACAAATCCTCGCACTGCACAATGGCATTTCGAAAATAAGTTGATTATATCGTGCGCCGGATTTGTTGGATACGCGACCAGACTGGGGCAAATTGAGGTGGCGGGGGGCGAACAGCGCTTTGAGAAACGAAAGGCCAGTGCGTGTGGACGAGAACCGCGGCGTGTGCGACGAACAGGGAATGGGATGCGCTGGCCGTGCGTTGTTGTCCTGTGCGAGCGCTGCTTGGGTCGTGCTGCGAGTGCGCTGGCGCTGGCGTGCCTTGGTTCAGTCGTGAGGATTGCCAACTTTTCTGATTTCTCCATGCAAGATAACGCTGAGAAAGTGGGAAGCTGGAGAGAGCGAGAGATGAGCGTGTCCCGCGCGGATTATGGCGCTGTTGGATGGCGCACCGTGGGTCACGTGCCCCGCTTCACCGTGGCTGCAGCCTGTCTGCCCTGTCTGCTGTTCGCTTGTGCTCTTGCGGTGCTGCCTCTGCCTGGTCGGTGACCATCTTCTTTTCTTGCCATGTTACCTTCTCTCTCTCTCTCTGGCCTTGTAAAATACGGTATAGTAAGGTTAGCCGCCCGGGTGTAACTTGTTTCATACGGTGGACTCCGTAAGTACCGCTGACCTCTGCTTGTTCTTTGTCTGACTTTACCGGCGCACAACCGTCACTTGTTCAACTTATACACTTCGATCATTTGTACTTCACGTCACCCGAGACACTCGTTCATTGCTGTTATCACTTTGTCCCGTTACAATGCGCTCTACCAAACGTCTATCATATTCCCCTTGTTTGCTGCACGTCGTCACACTATGTGGGATTCGTTCGCGCCCTGCTACATTGGCTTACAGCCGATTCCTGTGGAAACCACTAATACATGCCAAAACCTGCTCAATATAGAAACCTAAACGAAGTCTTCGCCATGAAGCGCCAGGAAACAAGGGGCTCATTGTTCTTGGCCTCATTCCTCCTGGTCTTGTCATTCTTGGCCTTGTAGTTCTTGGCCAACACCCACTACGCAGTATACAGCGTATATCAGAACAATCGCTACCAGTCTGCCGCCCGCTCCTTATCAACGGGCTCTCTTGAAATGACGCCTCATATCTCTCAACGCTACCCATCTTCCATGCTCAACCTGAGAATGTTTTCTGTCATCGACCTTACATGTTCTCTTAATGATTCAACTTAAGCAGTGCCTGAGGCACTTTGGTGTTTCAGTCCTTGATCCTTTCTCTACACTGTAATTGCCGTTTCACTCCCCACCATTCCACTTAAGGCAGGCACAACCTCGGGAATGAAGAAAAAAAATCCTCATGTTCTACACAGCAACTCCCTTTCACCGTTTGTTGCGGTTACCCAAACGGCGTGGCGCTAGACTCAAACCCGCTAGTGCGAGGTAGGACACGCCCGAAGCCATAGTCACTCCTTCAAGTCGGCTTGCTCTACAACTCCTTCGATACAATCTCTACCCTCTCCCTTGGCTCACAGCCTCTTCTTTCGGTCTTGACCGGTCCACCTTCCTTTTGCCAACTGCAGGCAGTCGCTCACTCCTTCATTACTTGTACAACGACCTGTGTTGCTTGAGCAAACACTCGACCGCATCCACACATACAGCACGTTTACGTTGCATGTACAGTAAAAGCATTCAATAACATTCGCTGCATCCTAGCCATGAAGAATATCGTTTTGGTGAGCGCTCTGGCAGCTGCCGGCCTTTTTGTGGGCTCTGCAGGCGGGCGCCCTTTCGGTGGGTTGTATAACCAATTCAAGGCTTCACTCGCTGACGGGATACAGAGCACAAGCGCGACATTGTCACCGAGATTGTCTATGTCACTGAGACGGTCGCGGATGTGATTGTGTATGTCGATGGATCGGGCGTGCCCTACTCAACCACAACTTCTGAGAGGGTCGGCGCCGAAACCGCTCCTTCGACTACGTCTGAGATTTCGCTGTCGACATCCAAGGTTGTGCTGTCCAAGTCGGACATTCGTACCAGTTCTTCTTCTGCAAAGGTCCAAGTCGAAGCCGCACTTTCAACTACGTCCGAGATTGCGCTCTCAACGTCAGCTGTTCGTGTCACTTCTTCGCCTTCTGCCGTCACTCCCCAGTCAACCCCGCAGGCGATTTCGGAGAAGCCCAAGTCGGCGAGCACTACTCCTTCGTCTAAGCCCACCGCTGTAGATACCACTTGCACCACGACCACACTGACGCCTTCTCTGGTCACTCCTGAGTACACCTCCCCAACATCCACGTCTACCACGTCAACGACCACGACCAAAGCATCCGGACCAGCGCCGCAATCTCCACCTCCAGCGAAACCTGCTCCGACTGAGCAAGCTGGTGCAGATACTATGCCTCTGGGTATCACATGGGATGCCTACACCGACTCATCCGGATGCAAGTCTCCCGCCCAAGTCGCGAGCGAATTCAGCCGAATGAAAGACTACAAGGTAATACGCATCTACGGCAAAGACTGCAACCAGATTGCGCTCGCTGTTCAGAATGCGCTCAAGAACGGCCAGAAGCTCATGGGCGGTGCGTACGTCGACACCAGTGGCGGCGGTGAAGACGTGGGCGATGTCATTCAAACATACAAGAACGCCATTGATCAGTACGCCGGCGGTAATTGGGATGTCATTCAGCTCTTCAGCGTGGAGAACGAGCGCATCAACGAGCGCAGGATGACGGCCCAGCAAGTCGTCGACGTAATCGGTTCGGCGCGCGCCCAGCTACGACGTGCTGGCTACAATGGCCTCGTGGGCGCAACGGAAACGGCCCCTGCAACAATCGACAATCCATCCATCTGCGCCGCCTCAGACGTAGTCATGGTCAACATCCACGCTTTCTTCGACCGAAACACGCAAGCCGCCGACGCGGGGCCCTTTGTCCAGAGCCAAGTGCAGCTCGTCAAGTTCGCCTGCAACAACAAGCGCGTCGTGGTTACAGAGTCGGGCTGGCCTCACCAGGGCAACGCAAACGGTGCGGCTGTGCCCTCGCCCGAGAACCAGCGTGCTGCTCTAGACTCGATCCGCGCCGCCTTCTCCTCCGACATGTTTCTCTTTAGCTCCTTCGACTCGGGCTGGAAGGCTAACACGGCATCCACCTTTAACGCGGAGCGCTTCTGGGGCATCCTCTAGTCGACACACACACACACATATGCGTGTCTACTTGGCGACTACTTATGCACCTCGCCTCAATAACAAAGAAGAGGAAAAGTGGTTAAGCGGAAATGGTTCTTCCAATGTGCGCATCATTTTTTGGAATGTGCCCATTCTGTACACATACCATGTATTAGCTGGTATACGCTTCCATCCCTCTTCTGAGTATTTTCTTCTCTTCTTCTTCTTCTTCCTCTTACTCCTGCGTCACTTTGGACGCCGTACGTATGCACATGGTAGCCTAGTGCTCTGTGGATATGTATGTACGTGTGTATGGAGAAAGGGGGAGTATGGATATGATAAATGTGCAATCATGTATGTAGTAGTAGTAGTAGTATAGATACCCCCCGGAATGTCACATGAATGAATGCATGAATGAATCAGTGTCGTTTGCAGTATGTACCTGTCCAAGTGAATATTTCATTCTGCCTTTTCAGAAAACGATGTGTTTAATCCTTTCGAAATACCCACTTCAACTCTCCATTACTCTTCTTTCCGGTATTCTCCACGATACTAAACATATCTAACACCCCAACTCGTCCGCAATCTCCTCAATCGCCTTGACCAGGCCATCCAGCGTGCCCCTCAGCACACCTCCATTCACCACGACGCGGAAGAACTTGCCGTCGTCGCCAGGCGCAAAATCAACCATAAAGCCCTTGCTGACAAGCCTCTGCGCAATCTGCGTCGTAGCGCGACTATTGCGTTCAGCATCACGACTGCGCTGGCCGCCCCTCGCATAGTAGAAGCAGACCTGCAAGCACGGCAGCGGCTCCGGGCTAATCGTGCGAAAGTTTCCGCTCTGCTTGAGAAGGTTCAGCAGGTACTCTGCGTTTGCGTAGGCGTTTGCGACGAGAGAGGCAAAGTGCGAGGGGCCGTAGTACTGCAGGGCGAGGAAAAACTTGAGGCTATCTGCGCGGCGGCCGCATTGCGGAGTGAGGTCTGCGAGATCGTAAATGTCGACTGCGTGTGTGCCTGGGGCGTTGTGGAAGAGGTAGCCTGCGGGGAGGGTGAGTGCGCGGTAGAAGGTGTTCATGTCGCGGCCGAGGAGAAAGCTGGTGGTGATGGGGGCACCGAGCATCTTGTGCGGGTTGATGGTGATGCTGTCTGCGAGGTGGGCGCCTGCAAGGCGCGAGGATGCGTAGGCTGGGTTGAAGACTACGCTGCCGCCCCAGGAGCCGTCGATGTGGAACCAGAGGTTGTGTGTTTTGCAGATTGTCGAGAGCGCGGGGAAGGGGTCAAAGGATCCTTGGACGGTCGTGCCGGCTGTGGCGTTGAGGAACAAGGGTGTTTCGCCCCGAGCCTTGGACTCGTTGATGCAGCGTTCGAGCTCAGCGGGGATCATGCAGCCGCGGTCGTCGACAGGGACGGCGATGACGTTTCTGGAGCCCAGGCCAAAGAGGTTTGCGGCTTTCTCGACCGAGTAGTGGCCGTGGGCAGAGGTGAAGAGGGTGAACTTGTGGCTTCCATTGCCATCGGCCTTTGTCTCTGGGTACAGTGTGTTTCTGGCTATGGCAATGGCAGAGGCGTTGGCGGCACTGCCACCTGGTTGGGAGATTCCTCCTGATGTCTCATCTGGGAGACCGAATAGGGAGGCCAGGTACTTGGTTGTTCGTTTTTCCACCAGAGTCAGCACAGGCGAGACGGAGTAGACGTGGGCCTGGGCATGTTAGTGCTTGGTGTCTGCGATGAACGACAAGCTTACATTAGTGTTGAGCACTGCCAGTAGCAGCTCACTGACGACGCCCACCGCATTCGTACTCGCATACAGTTTGTCGAGAAACCCCTGGTCCCAAGTGTTGACGCTGTACTTCAACACAGAGCTCACCAGCTTGATCAATCCATCTTTTCCGACCTTGCTTTCGTTGATCTCCAGCTCTTCACTGAGAATCGACTCGAGTTTTTTCGGGGGGTGGTGCTCGACGAGCACAGTTCTGGGGCCGTCACCTTCAATCCTGAGACCATGACCAGTATGCTTCGTAGCTGCATCCTCGTCTGCGGAGCGTATGAAGGGTATGATCAAGTCTTGAATTGCGTCGAGAAGCTGTGAATGTCGTCAATATGATGCCATTTGACGCAATCCATGTGCGACGCATGAGATTTTGTCGGAATGGTCGGAATGCCGTTCCGAGAAACCTACATCTTTGACTTCACCAGCCCGATCGAGGGGTGTGGCTGCAGCTATTGATCCCATGTTGGCAGACTGTGAAGGAATCCGAACAAGACAAGGTAAAAAAAACGAGAGCCCCGTATTTGAATTGACAGGACAGGGACCGGGGTGTCATGAAGGGAAATCCCCACAGAGAAACGGCAGACTCGGCGTTAGTGCCGACTACTTTAGCAAATTACAAAATGGAGTCATGGATCTTTCCTCAAACTAATCCTCCCACTACGAAATGCCACATGCAGATTATGCCACCAGTAAGGTATCTAGAACTATCAAACCAAAACACACTCATTGAGTTCCGCCCTGTATAACGCCCGAATCAACGAAGCAACCATTTTATAGATTCTTGCCTAAGGTAAGAAAAGTCGCACGCCACATGGGCAATGTCACCCTTTTATTGCGCCACAACACCATTGCCTTTGCTACTACTTCCGCTGCTTACGCTGCTCCCCTTTTTGGGCTTCTTACCATCTTTTCCTTGTGCAGCCTTGGCAGCTGCATGTTTTTGCCTGGCCAGCTCAATGGCTGTAAGATGGCGGCCTGATTTGTGATTGAGAGGCGTTTCGATATTGCCCTCGGGAAATGATTGGAAGCCCTGGTTGCCGGCCGTGTAACGTGACTGTGTGACCCAGTCGTTGCGTCTGCGCTTGTAGAGATCCATGCGCCAGTTGCGCCAGACGGCACGCCCGACGTGAGACTCGCGCAGGGAGCTCTCGTTTTCAGCCAGCTCCTCGGCGATGCGCTCGCGAATAAAGGCCAGACCAGCTGTGCCTTGCCAGATTGCATCGATGACATGTGATGCGGCCGGGTCAAGCGCGAGCTCACCTATCTTCCCATAGAACTGCTGGATCATCTTGCGGCGGAAAATGACGGACGCATTCTTCGACATCAACGCTGCTTGGAGCGTCCTAGATGCTGTGGGGTCACGAGCCAGTTGGGTGGCGAGCTCGGGTGAGAGGTTTGCAAGAGAGTCAAAGACGAGTTGGCCAAGCGGCCCGTCGACCGTCATCATAGTCTGTGCTAACAAGGACCCATGCACCTTTTCTGGTGAGTGGTCGTGTCTGCCACGCGGTTTTCCGTCATCTTCGCTTAGTCGGAGGATGCGCGTCACTTCGAAGCCGTTGGAACCGGCATAAGCAGCTTCCAGTTGCGCCTTGATGGGCGAGCAGTCCACCTCTCGTGCCACACATCGCTCAATAAGTACTTTGATGACGCCGGTTCGGTTGCGCTCAACTAGGCTGGGAATCTGGTCGACAATCTGGCGCATGGCTTCTTCGAGGTCATCCTTGCCGAGCCTCTCGAGAATCTTACCTACTACGTAGCCTGCAATCTCGTTACGTGCCAAGCTGCCCATGCGCTCTTTGAAGAATTCGCTGTAGATGGACTTGAACACCTTGCCTGGCGCATTTTCAATGATAGTTTCTAGAAGACGGGAGCCGACAGCGTCGTATACTAGTCCATTGATGAGGATAGCGCTCTCAGTTCCTTCAGCAATAGGGTTATCGGGAAGAAGTCGGCGTATGATTGATTTTTCGTCCTTGGCCCGAGACTTTCCAAAATGCGAGAGCTCTAGTTTAAGCAGCAGTTGCAGAGTGGGGCCGCCAAGGGCATGTGTGGTCAGTGTGCGAAGATAGTGCGATTCTATGCCGGAAACACTGTCACTGATGACTTTTTCCAAGGCGTCGAGGAAAGACTGGGGGACTTGTCTCTCCTCCAGGATACGCTCTTGTGTTTTGTCTGCGCCAGAGACGGTCACCTTTTCTTTCTTCTTGCTCTGCGTGACCGACTTGGTCTGCTTCTCTAGCGGCGCACCCGACAAGATTATGAGGAGTACGCGCAGCACGTGTGAGGCGTATTTGTCTGTCATCAAGAAGCCCATGTATCCCTCGAGCTCGGCCAGTGTGAAGAGAAAAAGATTTTCCATGGAGACGTGGACATGGTCAGGGTTGGAAGACGGCGGAGTTTCCAGAGTCTCTGGCTTGACAGTCTCTTGGGTAACGACGGGGGCGGCTTGTATGAAGAGGGCTTCGCAGCAGTGGGAGGCGAATCGGTTCTGGACGAGGTTGAGGAAACTGGGGTGTGTCAGCACAGCACAGCAGAGTCAGTGAGCAAGATGGCCGGCTTACTGTCCGCTGAATTTCTGGAACAGGCTCTTGAGCTGTTCTGGAGAGGAGAGGAGAATCAGGCGCTCGAGCAGGCGGGAGGACTGGCTGTTTGCAATCTTCAATTCCTTGCCGTCGGCCTCTTTCCACACGCTGGCCAGGAAGATGTCGCGGTCGTCGGCGCTCTCGAACTGGTTGAGCTCGAGCATTTCGTCTGCCTTGCGGAAGTACTCGAGCTCCTGCTCGTCGAGCATTCCATAGAAGGGTGTGTCATCCGGGCGGCTGGCCTGGCCGTTGGCAAGTTGCTGGACAGCGTCGTCGGCAGCGGCGAGCGGGCCGGCGTCGTCGTGCTTATGGCGCTTGGCACTGGCGTCGTCGTCGAGGTCCCGCTTGCGCTTCTTGTGCTCGTCGCGGCGGCCGCGCTTCTTGTGTTCCTTGGGCATGGCGGGCGATGACGGCAGCGGCGCGCGGCGGCAGAAGTTTGGAGCGTCGCGGCTGGCGGGAAGGAGTGCAGATGCGCAGCTCGCAGCTCGGGGCCAGGCAGCAGGTCGGGTTATAAGCAGCGGGCGAGGCTCGGGTGTGGAACAGCAGCGCTGAGGGTCGAGAGGGCGCACAAGACGGCAGTCGAGGTGCATTAAGCATGTTTTCCAGCAGTCGACTGATGGGGCAAAGAGTGGCGCTCGCTAGGCAAAAGTTGCCGCCCCAAACGGGCTAGGTCGGATCGGTGGAGATCGAGGCGGTCCCCAAGATCGGGAAGGCGCCACCCAGGCCACAGCAGGCACGCCCGACGCAGGCTAGCGTGCGCGAGCCCTGGGCGCTAGCCGCTTTGGGGGGCGCTCGCGGGTCGCGGCCCAGCCTTGCACTTGGCCGTCGTTGTGCCGCCACCTGCCATGCTGCCACTCTCCCTCCACCACGTCTGCCCATGCCCATGCCCATGCCCATGCCCATGCCCATGCCCATGCCCATAGTCGACGCCGCCGCAATCTGCCCACGAATCGTACGATTTCCATGGACGACGCCCACACGCGCGTCGCCGACTATCTCGACGACCGCCTGCAGACGCCCGCCGACCTCGATGCCCTCGACGACCTGCTGGCCACCATCACGGCCCAGCATGGCCTTCTGAAGCAGCAGCTCCACGACGCCCAGCGCGACCTCCACCAGGCCAACGAGGCTTCGCACGCCCACCACGCCCTGCTTGCCCAGCGCGCCGATGCCTTCCGCGAGCACCACGCCGACATTGACCGCCGCCTCCTGGCCATGACGGCCTCGGAGACGAGCGACGATGCCGTGCCCCGCTTTGAGCATGTGCTGGACACGCTGCACCGGCTCGACGTCGCCAGCGGATACGTGCAATTGCTCGCCGCCGTCGACTCGCTGAGGTACGCCGCCTGCACAACGTGCCGCTCCAGAGCCGCCGGCGCTGTCGCTGTCGCCGCCCGCTGACTCCCGTACCAGCAAGCACGCCCAGTCGCAGCTCCAGACGTCGAGCGAAGCCGCCCTCGAGCCCTACAAGCAGCTGCGCGCCCTGCACACGCGCCTCATCGCCCTGCAGGAAGACGCAGAAGGCGCCGCGCCCCAATTGCTCCACCACGTCAACGGCATCACCGACGCCCTGCGCGCAAAGATCCTCGACGCCTTCTCGGCCCAGCTCGAACAGACGCTCAAGAAGATACACTGGCCCACGCCCAAGGCCGCCATCCCCACGCACCTGCGCGAAGAATGGGAGACGGCCGTTGTGAAGCTGCTCGATCTGCAGCTGCCCGAGCTCGAGGGCATGAACTACACCAGCGGGCCGGGGACCAAGGTCAAGCTGCCGCCAGTGCTTTTTCCCATGGAAGTGCTGGTGCAGCCCCTCGAGATGCGCTTCCGCTACCACTTTGAGGGCGACAAGCCCACCAACCGCATTGATAGGCCCGAGTATTTCCTTTCTCACATCACGACGCTCATCAATGACTACAGCGGCTTCATGGGTGACCATGTGCAACCTGTCCTGCTGCGCCACTTCCGCGGCACCAATCTCGCGCTCAATCCCGTGTACATTGATGCCATGTCGGCCTTTATAACCGCCCTGCTGTCCATGGTGCGCACCAAGATTGGTGCGCTGCTGCCCAAGGTGGCCGGCCAGCCGCAGCTCTTGAGCCACCTCATGCATGAGATGATGGGCTTCGACACGACGCTCCGAGACACGTGGGGCTACGATGCCGGCCATGGCGTCGAGGGCTGGAAGGGGCTGTCATGGGAATTCCTGGTTCAGGGTGATTGGTTCGGGCGATGGCTGCAGGTGGAAAAGGACTGTACGCTCAACCCGGCCCCCAATTGGGAACTTGTCCTGTGGGCACTGACATGTCACAGTTGCCCTGTCTCGCTACCAGACCATTGTCGAGGCCCCAGACTTTGGCGATCTCGACTACGAGAGCGTCGATCCCAAAGCCACCAAGCCCACCAAAGGCGCGATCCGCGTAAACGACCTGCTTGAAACCATAACGGGTACTTGCCACAGCCCTTCCTCTGCCGCGCACCTGCCGCTAACCGTGCATGCACTGCAGATCGATACAGGCCCCTGACGTCGTTTAGCCAAAAGCTCACCTTCCTGATAGACATTCAGATTGCAATTTTTGACAAGCTGCACGAGCGGCTGCAGAGCAGTCTAGAAGCGTATCTGTCCATGACCACGTCGCTGGGCCGCGCCATGGGCGGCGTTAGCAAGGAGGAACAGGAAAAGCTGCTTGGCGTGCACGGGTTGGAGCGCCTTTGCAAGACATTTGGCAGCGCCGACTATCTTGAACGGGCAATGCGCGACTGGAGCGACGATGTGGTAGGCTCTCAGCTGCACGACCCCTGCGTTATGTGCGCTGCAGCTAACTTGATTGTCGATAGTTTTTCCTGGACATCTGGGAGAACCTGCAAGATCGCGCCCGTGGCAAGACGAGCAATATTGGTAACATGACTGTTGCGGATGTGGCCGAGCGCACGTCAAGGAATGTCGAAAGCGACGACATGGATGGCGGCTCGCTGTTTGACGAAACGGCGTCGTGGTACGCGCGCCTTCGTGAGCGCAGTGAGAGGATCATCATGGACACACTCAACAGCAATGTGCGCGAGGCGCTGCGTCCGTACCGGCACATGTACGTCTCTGGCCACATGAGGCCATGTTTCTGGCGCTAAAGCTGTATACTGACATTTGTTTTTCTGATAGCAACCCGTGGGCCACGCTCGGCGGCCCGGCGGCTTCAGCCTCCAACGCTGTTGAACCCTCGCCCACAGCAGAGCTTGATCCTTTGCTTAGTTATTTGCGCACGACGTTGGCGTTTCTCTCGCGCGCCCTTGCATCTGCGCCGCTGCGCCGCATTACGCGGGCCATGCTGAGTACCATTTCGACGGTCTTGTGGGAGAATGTGATGAGCCGGTACCGTTTCTCCACTCAGGGAGCTACACAGCTGCACGCCGATCTCTTGGCCATATGCCGCGTTGTGGATAAACACGTCGGCGCAGGTGTGGCAGAAGTCGGGCTGAAAAAATGCCTAGAGGGCGTGAGACTGGTCGGGTTGCCCGTCAAAGGCAGCCATGCAGGAGTCGGTACGGGACAGGAATCAGGCAAGCATGACGATGGTGGCGAAGAAAAGGATGAATGGGACACGGAAGCTTGGGGCGCAGAAGATGATCAGGCGAGTGAGGCGCCAAAAGCAAGTGACGAGCCATTGGACGTTGACGATGCAGGGGAGTTGGGGCTGTGGGAGGTGGAAAGGCGCCTTTTTGCAGACAACCAGTCTGCCAGAGATGTGCTTGACGAGCTGGGTCTAGAGTTGTTGAGCGAGACGGAGGCGCGGACGTTGCTGAGGCGGAGAGTCGAGTTGGCTGGGTAGTGTTTATCTACAGCTACAGCTACAGCTACAGCTACAGCTACGGCTACGGCTACGGCTACGGCTACACATGGACTTTGACTTTGGATGCCATGTACGTCGGGCGTCACTGCACAGTCTAGTGTGTTTGCACAGGAGCCAGCATGATGCAAATTGCGGGTGCATGAGCCAGATGGTGTGTTTGTATCGAAAACTCGCCGTCTCACGGCGGCACATTATGCGTCTCAGCAAGCGGCTGGGTTGACATGGCATTCATATCGTCATGGCTATACATCTAGGACTATATCTCACGCCTAGCGTAACTCGCCTATGCTCCGTCTTCCTTGGCATCAGTCTGACGTGTAGATCCAGACTGACGGCCTAGTATTGGTATTCTAGGCGTAGTGTAGTGTAGTGTAGTGTGCTAGCAGCTAGTGCTAGTTTGAAATCTTGGGATCGACCTTTGTTCCTGTGACTTTTTCATAGGCTTTGCGCATGCCGTCTGTCTGTGGTGTTGGTGTGTTTTGTTAGCTGTGTGTTTATTTGGGTTTGCGTGTATATGAATGGATGCATGCATGGATGGATGCATGGACGTACAATCTTCTCACTCAACCCTCGGTTATTCGCTATCTTTTGCCCCTGGGCACCGCCAAACTTGGTCGCGGCAAAGTTGAAGGCTTTGTCGAGGTAGTCGTCGCCTCCGGGGTTGTTTTGAGCCATTTTTTTTTGTTCGACTATTGAGTAAGATGCGGTTGGTGTGTTTTGGTGATGGCGGTAGTGTAGGTGTGGCGGTGGTGGTGTGAGATGCGAGTGCGGGGTGAAGTGGCTGTGGCTGCTCACTAAGGAGGATGCGTGCGCTAATGCGTCATGGTTACTGGATAGAGGCGGGCATTTGTGGGTCGCTGGCCGAATGTCATGGCTGTGGTGTTGAAGAATGGACAGGCTGATGGCTTGATTCTTGCAGAGTGCTGGATGCATGGCTGACGGTGCTGGATACCGGTGAAGGAGGCGGGGGCTTGGGTAGTCATCTTGTCCACATTGGCATTGGCATTGACATGGCTGCTTTGAATCTGGGAACTGCTGTGCGTGTCTAGGTATGTACACGACGCTATTCCATGCGTGATTCTGCAAGCAACCAGACGTCCAGTCCAGTCCAACATGCAAGCCATCTGTCAATCCCCAACTACTCCAACAAACCCACCCGAACCCAGCACAAATCAGCAAAAAAAAAAGAGGAACAATCACAAGAAACGCCGTGCTTCGGACCGCAACCTGCATCACCATCTCTCGCTAGATCTCCAGTAAATGCCCCCCCATCCCCACCCCAGCATCACCCACATACAACCAAACCTAGACCCAGGCATACACTTGCAGTAGCTCTAGTCTAGTCTGATCTGCTCACCTCTGCATGTATGTGCATGTATGTGTATGCAACGCACGCGCAAGCGGGGCATCCATGCAACCCCCTCCAAGACCCAGACCTTTTTACCCCTCCACGACCCTTTACCCGTCTCTCTCTCCCTCTCTTTTTTTTCTCTTCCGCACACTAACTACCATGCATAGCGGGGTACCCCTCTCATCGGTACCGCCCAACACCCAAAAACTAGCACATGCCGTGTGTAAGCGAGCGAGAAATCCCGATAAGTACTCAGCTGAGGCGGAAACAAGGCGGAAAAAAAAAAAAAAAAAAAAAAGTGAAGCAAAGGGCAAAGCAAAGGGCAAAGCAATATTGCCTGTGCCGCTGCAGATACCCAACTATTATATAATCGGTCCGTGAATGGAATTTTACTTCCCACGTGTCTATGTAAGTATGTATCTTAGCAGTGCCAGCGTCAAACTATGTAACACACAGACGTTCACGCAACGCGTGAGCAGTCACTCATTCATACATACTTTACAAGAGCTCAAGCCCACACACGGCTCCAGCTGAAAATACACGCCCACCGAAAGAAGAAAGAAAAAAAACTTTGTAGGGGGCACGGTAACAAGGGATACCTGACAGGTTGCTAGGTACTGGTACCATGATCTGACAGGCACGTGGCATGACACTCGAGAAGCAGGGCAACCCAGTGAAAGCACCAAAGGTCTTTTTTTCTTTCTTTTTTCCTTCCCTTCGATTTTTTCTAAATGCCCGTCTGAATGTCCGTGTAGAAAAGCACCGAATAGCCAAGATAAAAAAAATGAATGAATGAATGAATGAATGACAGCATGGAAAATGGGCGGGACATGGGAGCATGAGATTGGCGGTGTGAGATTTTAAAACTAAGTAGTGTGCCCAAAGAAAGAAAGAAAGGGAAAAAAAAGATAATGGTGACAACGAGGAATGTATAATGGCGGCGGCGGCGGCCACGGCGGCGAGAGTTTTTATTATCATGGTTGTTGTTGTTCCGCACGGGTCGTGGGTGGGAGATGGAATGGAGCTGTGAGTACTTTTGGACAAAAGCCCATGGGCGAAACTACCAAGTAGGTGTGGGTGTAGCAGCGTGATAGCGAGGGCAGCGGCGCTTACATCCATACACTCCGCTACCTAGGGTGGGGCATTTTTCCTCGTTTGGATTTTCACGTGCGGGCTTGGTTTTCCAGGGTGTATACCGACTGTACTTTGTGCGTGAGAGTTGAGGGGGGGGGGGCGGACGGGAACGGGCGAGACGCCCAAAAAGCCAGCAGCCAGGGCCGTGGTAATGGCGGCAAAACACGGGGACGTAAGTACATGTAAAAGCAAGGCTAGCCAAGGCAAGACGAGGACTGCACATCAAGCTGAGTGTGAGTGTGAGTGTGAGGGTCAAAGCAACGCCCAAGTATGCAGGGTTAGCAAGTCCAAGAAGCGGGGATTGCGATGGAGATACCCCAGTCCAGATCCAGAACCAGAACTAGAACCAGAACTAGGACTACTTAGAACCAATTACACAAAGTACACACAAATCCTACCGAGTCCTTGGCCAAGCAGCGCGCGTAAAGCGTGTATGTACGTGTAATGCATGGTTTGCTTTTCGCTAGTGCTAGTAACACTCCCCCCCCCTCCCCTTTGTTTCCTACTTGTACTTCCCTGCTTTTCCTGCATACATGCATGCAGTGTGCTTTGTGCAAACGCACAACGGAAACGTTCATGTGAAGCTGTAGCCAAGGGGTTCCCTTCCTCGCCTGACATGGATGTTGACATGTGAATGTGCACGTGAAGCTGAATTTTGAATGGTACGTAAATTCGAGCGAGCTTGGGTAATTCTGAGGCCTGTGGGGAGGAAGGGCAAGGTGGTTGGTGCGAGTATTCCATGTCTGGTAATTAGATCTTTCGATTTGTTTCTTTCTTTGCAGCATCGAGTTCAACTGCACCTGGTCTCGTTTGTGCGTGGAGTCATGGTCGTGCTGTGGCAAGGGGTACGACAAGAAGCAGCAAGTAGACACTAGACCTCTACCACCAAGAATTTCCATTCCCAATCCAGGAATTCCCCATGCATATCCGCCGCATCCATTTCCACTCTCCCACTATATTTTAAACTTTACCGCGCAACCTATTCCAGTGGAAATTAGAGTTTAGGTTGTGGGTAGTGTGTGTGTGTGAGTGAGTGAGTTGTTCTGGGTATAGTGATTTGGAATGTCTGACGACGATCATGAGGTGGCACAACACATAGTGTACCACGTATGCTTTACTTTTGCACGTCGAGTAGAGCTACTGCTAGTAATTAGAGTCTTACACGTACGTGTTAGATGAGCATGTTGTTGTACGGTATGTATGTATGTATGTATGTATGTAGTAGTTGCATAACTAGTGTGAATTTTAAACTACATAGCCAGCTGCAAAACTAACCCAAGTACATGACGAGACTATGAAATTCAGTAGAGTCTAGATCGTTTCCATGGACATGCATACTAGCTTGCTAGTGTAGACGTTGGCTCTTCACGCATGGCACATGTCTTTTCTCGCATCCAAGCTCTACCACAGTGCACGTGCACACGTACAACACCATGACCTGCCTGACTAAACTCTACCAAACTATACCCATCTCCAGTCATACCCCACACCCTCCTCCTTTTAGCGTCCTACACCTAGAGTTAGGTAAGTGGCAACACCATTTACACCAGCACATGGATGTTCATGGTGATGGTGACGGTGATAGTCTCCATTGTGGGGTTTGCAAAAGATGACGTCATATCCAACTCCAGCTCCAGCTGCAGCTTCTCCTCCATCTACTCCATCTACTCCATCTATCCACTCCTCCCATCGCACCTACATAAACATACGTACGTATCCCATAAATTGCGATCTACAAGCCTGGAAGAGAAGAAGAAAAAATCCAAAGATATTGAAATGATGCAAGGAAAACAAAAAGAAGTAGAAGAAGATCCCACATGAAGATGATACATACCGCAACGGGCAATTTTACAGGAGACACTGACGTTGATATCGGCATACTTGCACTTGCACTTGCTACCTCCACTCATGTCATTACCACTCCTGTATTAGTATATTTCTGTATTAGCATATTTCTGTATTAGCATATTTCTGTATTAGTATACTCCTGTATTAGTATAGAGGCAGAGGTGTGCTTGTAAGTGGGGTCATTATGTTGTCATGTCCATGTCCATGTCCCAATCCATGACTCCCCCCCACTTTTCCAAGGCCATGTCAGGACCCTGATTATCATGGTAATGACGAGCATGAGTGTGTAAATTGGAGTCATAATTATGACCATGATGGATGGTGCGGAGGGAGTGTGTGGGGTGAGGAGATGGATGGACAGATGCAAGTGGAGTGGGAGGGGGGGTGGAGAGGAGAGCAGGTAAGATGTAAGCGAGATAGGAAGCAGACAAGCGAGTACATGGCATGGGTCATTGAATGAGTGCTGTAGGTGTATCCCTTTGTGAGATTAGATATGGTAACAAAGGAAATGTGCATGTGTCTAGAGTCGACTTGAGTGCAGCCTACTCAAGGTAGCCTGGAGTAGATACGACGTTTGCCCGTCTGCCTAGAGAGAGAGAGCTGCCTAGAGTAGCCCGCTTTACCCATCACCATCACACACTCATTTCACTTGTCCTTGAATGCAGCAAATCTTAGTTGAATAAAACACTACTTCTGCATCATCCGTGCATAATCATCGACAACTCATCCCCCCATTACCCTCCTAAACGCCGTTGTAGAAAAAAGAGACCAGGTACACGCCATCTAATTGTGTACATCTCCCCAGTCCCAGCAAAATACAAAGAAGCGTCGGGTATCGCGAAACAGGGTATAAAGCTACTGCACCTTGCCGTGTGTATGGTGGCTGAAGAGGCGCCAAGCAAGACGGTAATGTCTTTTGAAGAAAGAGGAAGATGAAGAAAGAAAAAAAAAACGCTTCCCTAACGCCAGTGCTTGCATTGCACTCTGGGACAATGACAGAGAAAAAAAAACCGCTCTAACGCACGACACAAACATGACTAAGAAATACAGCGGAGAGAAGCGGAAACGTATGCGAGGCAAAGGCGAAAAGGAAGAAGAAAAAATCATCCGTACTGCTTGATCAGCGAGTGCAGCAGGCGGCAGAAGAGCGTGTGGAGGTCGACAAAAAAGTTTTCCTGACCGACAATCTCAATCAGGCTCTTGGCCTTCATCACGTCACGCGACACACGAGGGAAGCCATCTGGGTCGAGCTTCTTGGCGGACAAGAAGGAAGAGACGGGGGTGATGTTGCGGAAGTTGGGGGCACTTGAAGTGGAAGAGGTGCGCTCCTTTTGGGAGGCGTGGGGTGGGGGCGTCGAGGATGTTGAAGCGGCCGGTGTGCTGGTGGAGACGGCAGTCAAGGGGCGCGACAAGCCCTGCGAAGCGGCACTCTCGCGCTCCAGGACTCGGTCGGCCAGCGAAATGATCCTGTTGGCAATGCTTTCAAAAGCCTCTGTGATCTTGACCATGGCCTTGGTAGCTCGGCGACAGTCGCGGCCGGCCATGGCGATGAGGGCATAGGTGCGCTTGGCGCCTCGCGAGCGCGGGTCCTGCAGGCGAAAGACATAGGCAATGGTGTAGCCGGCGACCGAGTCTCCAAACATGATGGGCCCCGAGGGTTTGCTCAGCGGGAGAACCTCGGTGGACAGGGTGCGGATGCAGGTGCGGCGCAACAGCGAGTAGGTGCTGGGCGACTGGGGCTGGCTGGTCGAGATGTAGTTGAGCGTGTGGGTGTGGACGGCGCGCGAGCCCATGAGGGGCGACGTGGGAATCGAGTCGGGATACAGGCTCGACGTGGCGCTCTGGAACGAGGCAGACTGCTCCGTGTCCGAGACATCGGACGAATCGGTACTGCTGACATCATCGCGCGACACTGGGCGTCGTACGGGATAGCTCTGGGAGCTGCGCAGCACGGGGCTGCCGTTCCTGCCGCGGCCGTCCTTGGTTGGGCTGCCGGGGGCGCCGTTGGGGATCTTGTCGCTGTACTTTTGCGGCACGACCATCTGGCAGTTTTCGCACACGTCCGAGTCCGAGTCCAAGGTGGAGCTGGGGCGGCGGCCGCCGAAGCTGCTGGCCGACGACGACGACGAGAGGCTGGGAAAGTAGGGGTTGTGCGAGGGCGAGTGCGGGCTGGTCGGGGGCGAGTCGAAGGGCGAGGTGACGTGGGGCGGGCGCGGAGGGTTCAGCTTGAGCGACGTGGGCTGGTCGTAGAGGTGGTTGAAGGAGCAGGCGTCGTGCGGCTCGTCCGACGGCGGGGTGACGCATGGGTTGCAGGAGCCGCATGGCGAGGTCGAGGCCTGGGTGCAGATGATGGAGGTGGGACCGTGAACTTCGCAAAAGTGCGCGAGCGAAATCTGCGACGTGTTAGTCGTGGCGGCTTGCGACGAGCGAGGCACATGACGGGGGCAGCAGGGACAACGGAGACAACAGAGAGGGCGCCAGGCACAAGCGCGCGCGCGGCCGCGACTTACCGTAAAGTCCATATCGTGTGCTATCTAATCTCTACCGTCTCATGGTGTTGGGAGGTGTGTAGGGGTGGGGTCTGGGGATCGAGGCTCAGCTGACGGTGGGCGGCCCAGATGGGGAGTAGTTGCCGCGCGAAACGAGGGCCGGCGCTGGGGCGAGGTTGGCGGCAGAGGGCTGTGAGTGGCGGGCGGCGGGCGGCAGGCTGTGTGGGAGGTGAGGCAGGAGCACGAGAGCAGCAGCGGCGGCGGTGATGGTGGGCGTGGGCGCGGGCGTAGTGGTGGCAGGCGTCGTGGTGGTGGGGATTCCTTGGTGTTTTGGTCGCAAACGTTGGGCCGGGCTCAAAGGATTATATGGGTTGGGGCTTGGGCGAGGGGGGGGGGGTGCAAGTAGCACGACGCTAGGACGGCGGCGGCGGGCGGTGGGCGTAGGGCATTGATCAGAGCATCTCTGTCCACAGGCACGGGCATGCATGGAGACGCGGGCACGCATGGCGCCGAGCGAGGCAGAGGCGGCGGGATTTAGTTTCCATGTTGGCTGTGGGAGTGGGAGTGGGAGCGGGAGTGGGAGTGGGTGTGCGAGTGGGTGTGGGCAATCAAAGCAATGACGGGGGGCGGCGGAGCAACGGTCGAAGAGCCGACGCTGCAGCGACGAGCGGCCTGTTGTTGCGGTCAGTATCACCAGCCCGCCATTGGCTGCACCGCCGCTGGCGAGGGGGGCGGCGGCGGCTGCTGTGTCGCTCGCTTGCCCGCGACGTCGCCCGTCCACGGCGCGGTGCAGCCAGCGTCAGACTGCTGGTAGCGCAGCAGAGGGCATGCAGATGCGTCTGCTGTAGCCCATGTACTATACCTGTAGCGTGGTGCAGTGCGGGCATGGATCATGGCCGGCATACGAGCAGTCTGGGAGCGAGTGCGAGAGTGCGAGCGAGAGCAGCGAGAGCAGCGCAGGCCAATGACGCAGCCCTGTCGCGATCCCTGGGCCCCTTCCCGATGCAGCGTGGCTGCGACTTCCTGCCTGGGCTGGGCACGTCATCCAATCTGCCACGGAGCCCGTCTGCATGTGCCTATCTCAGCCCTCTCTGCCTGAAACGCCCAAGACACGCCTTTGTCTGCCCTTCATCTATTATACACACACACACACACACACACACACACAACACACATCTCATCCACATGTACACGGGCTACACGCGCGCTAGGCCCAGCTCGCACACCGGAGTGCCAACGGCGGCTTCGGCCGGGCTCCGTCTTTTTTGCACGCCACACGGCTGCCCTGCCCTGCCTGTGCCTTTCTAGAAGACTGCACCTGTGCACGTGCCGCCTGCCTGTGCCCGGCCAGCACGGCAACCGCTCCAGGGTCTGGGCCTCTCGCCGTGCCTGCCGCCCACCCACACTGCCACACGCATTGCCACACTCACTGCCACACCCACACCCACTCCCACTCCCACTCCAACACGAACCACTTGGCAGAAGCAACCCTCGACATGCATCCGCCATATCGCTTCGGCCGCCCCGTGACGACGCTTCCCCAGCTTCCTCTGCACTCCCACTCGCACTCTCACTCTCACGCGCGCTGTGCACACGTCGACGCACGCTGCCCGCGGTCCAGAACAAAGTGGATAAGGCCTTAACTCGCGCCTGCTAAGTCAAGCAAGCACCGCCTAAAAAATCATCCACGCCAAGCTTTTTGCAGACTACACTAATGCCAACGGCCTCTCCATCCAAGGCTACTGCGTCGTCGTTGACTCGCTCTGCCAGTATGTACGTAATAGCTGTGGGCTCCGTGCATCGTGAAGCTCCAACTAGTGTAGCCTTCTCCAACTCTCCAACGCCTCTCTCTGCAACGGAAATTGCACGGCCACCTACAGCCATGCACCATCCTCCATCCTCCATCCACCCACTCTCGTGGTCGAAAAAAAAATATGCTCAGGGTTTTCAGCGCTACGGTGCATTTCGTCTACTCGACTCGACTCGACTCTACTCTACTCTACACCTACTCTACACTAGGCCTGCACCCACAACGGCCAGTCGACAACAACCCTCATGGCTCGCCGTCGTCGTCAGACTCGCCCCCGTCGGCCGCCCGCCCCTGCAGAATGTCATAGCCCATGACTTCGTTGATGAATTTCCCCGTTTGCTTTAGCTCCTCATAGCGGGCGCGCTCGTCGTGGGTAAATTGTCGAGCGGCCGGCTGCATCATGTCGGCAATCAGAGGCGCCCAGATCTGGTCGAGCTGCGTGATGCCAATGTGCGAGCACGGAATGTCGTCGAGCAGCGCAGGCGACACGACGCCTGCGTCCTTCCAGTGCCGCCTCCAGCACCGGCTCGTGTGTGGCGACATGTGGGTGCGGAAGGTGAGCAGGTAGCGTCGCCGCTCGCTCGACGTTGGGCACGCGAGCAGCTTGGCCACCCGTCCGATGCCGCCCAGGATGAGGAAAAAGGCAATGTCTTCGGAGCACGCGGGCTGCTGGTTGGACCACCCGCGCAGCAGCTTTGCAACGGCGCCCGCGCTGCTCGACGGGCGCGTCTTGCGCAGCACCACCTGCACGATGAAGCAGTACATGTAAAAGTAGTGCAGGCGCAGCGGGGCGTCGAGATTGCGCACCACGCTGCGCTCCTGGTCGGCAATGCCCGCCGTGGTGCGAACATGGTAGCCGATGCGCGAGCGCGGGCGTATGTGGCCGAGGTCTCGCTCGAGCAGCAGGCGGCGGTGCTCGTCGAGAAAGTAGCCCACGCCAAAGACGAGCGGCAGCATGCGCTCGTACACGGACGACCACAGCTGCTTGTGGCGCGCGCAGGCGGGCTCCACGGGCTCGCGCACCAGATGATGGGCAAGCTGGCGCGTCAACCGCATCGACGCAATGTGCCGCCGCCTCATGGTGAGCAGAAAGGCCAAGTCAATGGCACTGGCACGCGGCGCCGGGTACAGTTGCAGGTGCAGATTGCCCATGCGATGCTTGACCCAGTAGCGCACCAGCGCAGGCGCATTCTCCGCGACGAGCACGTTGAGCACGCGCGACGTGCGCCGCAGCGCCAGCACGTCGGCCACGCACAGCTCGCGCAGCATGTAGATGTGAAGCTCGTCGGGCAGCCGGAACAGCGCTTCCAGAAACGGGCTGTGGTTATTATTAATATGGCCCTTGATTAGCCTGGGCGGCGTGGGTTCCCGTGTGTGGAGTGGAGTGCTATGGGTACGTACCTCGAGAGGCCTGGCGATGGCGCTAGCTCGTCGCCGCCACCCGCACCGCTCTTCCTCTTGCTCCTCAACGACGCCAGCAGCTTGCTCTGCAACCCCCCCGCCGCCCTTCCCAGGCTCGATCTCTTTTTCGCAATCACCTTGTCGTTGGGAGCACTTGCCGCCCGGCTGCGAGTCCGCTCGCGCTGAAGCTTCTCCATGGCCGCCCGTCGTTGCTTGTGGGCGATGACAAGGCGACGACGACGACAACAGCGAATGATGACAGTGACGATGATAACAATGATAATAATAACAGCCACTCTGGGCGAGCCAGCCTCACCCTTGCACAGGCGGGCAAACGCTTACGACGTCGTTCTCGTTGCCTAACGTCAGCGCCAACAATACCTCGTTCCTCATTTTCCTCAAATAGAAATGCACAATGGCAGCATCGTATGGGTTGCTTGGTCGCACAGCGGTATCGTGGTCGGAAGAGAAAGGGTAAGTTGTGTCGATCAATGGCTCAAGGGGGGAAGAAGGTCGAGGGAAGCGACACACGAGCACGAGCAGAGAGAAAGAGAGGGAGAGGAGAGAAACCGACAGCAGCCCGATAATGTCCATGCGCATGATGAGTTGCAGACTTGTGCCAGTGCGTCTCCGTCTTAGCTTTTTGGGGGGTCGCGCCAACGCCAACGCCAACGCCACCACGGCCGCCTTCCAGCCTTGGTAGCCTCCCCCCCTGGTACAGTAGACAAGCATGCCATGCCTTTTGCATGGCCTCTATTATCAATCCCGGACTCCCACAACAAGACTAATGTCAAGAGAGAAGCAACACACACGCGTGTACTGGTGGGTGTAATAGACGGCACGGCAAGAGAGCGAAAGCGAGAGCGGGGCGGGGCGTCCCAAGCCACGCCACATGGCCACCATGCAATCCTTTAATCTGAAACGTGCAACGCGGGAAGGAACAATCGGGGTTATCTATCCATCCATCCATCCATCCATCCATCCATCCATATCCATGCTCCTTGCGCGACATATCTATGTACGTACATGTGTAATTCTTCGTGTTATCGCCGGTGCCGTTGTTCTTAATACTACCATATTAATATTCCCTCATGCCATGCCATGCCATGCCATGCCATGGCGTCAGGCTGCATGTCGGTCTGTCTGTCTGATTACAGTTCCATGATTGCTTCTGCCGTGCTGCCTGCCGTGCTGACTGCCGACTTGCATGCGTGCCTGACTTGCCGTGCCGTGCTGCCTGACGGCCTGACTTGTGTGCGTGCGCGCGGGAACGGGGGAACGGGGGAACGGGGGGATAGGCAATGGAGTCATGGCGCTGAGTAAGCGGCCAAGGTAAAGCTGGTCAGCACCGAAGCAAAAGTGCAAGGCCAAGAGCGTGGGGAAAGGAAAAGGTAAGCGTGGGGGTAACGAGGGAAGCATGTACAAGTGCAAGTACGTACGTATGTAAGGAAGCAAGCAAGCAAGCATCTCGCGTGGTACCCTAGTCTGCCGAGACATGTATACATCCATCTACCTCCAACTACTGCTGCTGCTGCTGTATCCAACGCACGCTTGACCACTAGATTCCATATATCCTTGACACATTCCATCTCATGGCCACCATGCATACATGTCTCCCGTCTTTCTGTTCCCAAACACATGGATCCCTGGCTGGTTATGCATACAGGTGGTGGTTTATGCTTAATATGTGATAGCTATTACTGATATACCTGGTGCCTGTATAGTATGACGTCTGGCGGTGTACGTGTGTGGAATATTGACATGGGGGGAAATATAGAGCTTGGGTATCATTGTTATCGTTTGATGGGTTGGGTTGGGCTAGGCTGGGTACATGCAGGTATATATAGGGCTGACCATCGATGAGTTTCTGATACTGACTACGACTTGCTACTTGGATTTCGCCTTTGTGGTATATATACACTTACCTGGTAAACCTGCACAGCCGTTCCCCCCTTTTCGCCCCCCTTTCTATTATACACATTGCTTTCAGCGGGATACTTGCGTCAACTGCATTACGTCGAATCCTGTCAAGTATAGTATATCTGCTTGTTCGCTTGATGTCTTCTCATGGATTGGATTCCAAAAAGTATAGTCAGACTCGGCGTGAGGGAATGCCCCAAGAAGATGTGTGATACGGTGTTTTGTAGCGTCAGGAGTGATTTTCAAGTTGAGCTTCATGACACTAGGCTGGAGGCTTGGGGTACGGGTCGTATTGGGCTGGTTTGGCTTTGTAGTACTGGTCTGACTCGACTTGGTAGTACTGGTCTGGCCCAGCCTCGTGATGCTAATGTCTCATTCAGCGTTGTGCGTGGCGCAACCTTGTCCAACGTGAGGCTGAACTCGTGGCCTTGTCTACGAGGTCATGCAATTTGGTTGATGACCTGGAACAAGGACTACTGTTACTGCTGTAGCACTGTGCTGCTGCTGGCGCTTAGTATTACCATACACGCGTATATCAAGACGCCATACTAGACTAATCTTACCATCTCGCCCTAATTAAAGCAACATAGCCCAAATGGCGCGGTGAACAAGCGCAACTAGGCTAGGTCGTCCGCGTGTGCGGGGTCAAGTCTATGGGTACTCGACTAGGTCCTAACTCTTTACTCCTCTAAACCCCTCCATGTGCATCTCCAGCGGGGCACGACTAATCACTTTTGTCCGTGACAGTTGGCAATGCCGCGGTCCAATGCCTGCGTGTGCCTGTGTTGGGAAAAGCGGCTTGCGGGGAATATTGGTCTACCCCGGCCAATCCCCTATTGAATTTGCCACAAGCTCCATGTTCCCGTCTTACTGGACCCGATCCCCCAACTGCGCCGCCGGATGGCCACGACGACGTCTACACGCGCGTGCCGAGTGCGTGCCAGCTTGGCGACTTGCTTCAACGTCACCTCAAGCAGCCGGGCGGTCAACAGTACTTAAGGCCTCCATCACCTCAACGCCCCCAAGTTGATGTCCGGACGAATCTACACCCGCCCTTCCGCCGACGCTTCCGTTTCATGACGTACACGGGCTCCGCATTGCAGGCGTCGGAGCGTGTACAGGTTGAGCAAGGCTTGCCTCCCTTCGCGGTTACGGCAATAGGTGGCTGCGTTAGGGCGAATCAAGCAATGCATTGTTCGCCTTTTCCTCGGACGGTACTGCGTGCTAATTGCTATGGCGCTCCTGGCTTCGGCCATATGCCAGAACACTTGTGGGCATCTGCTCCGTGCCTGGCTAGTCGGAATGCCTCAGCCTAGCCGTGCCCAGGCTGTCGCCCTGTATAAATTACAAGGTCCGGGGACGGGACGCATGCTTCAAGGCTGCCCTTGCTTTCCGTGGTTTCCAGCGTTACTACCGGCCTGCCAATATGTTGCGCCTTGCCACGGCGGCAGCCCTTTTGGGTGCTACGTATGCCCAGTATGCACAGCAGTCTCCACTGCCTACCGTCGACCTGGGCTACCAAGTCTATCGTGCCGCTGGCTTCAATGTACGTTGTCTGCGCAAGTCGGCTTTCTTTTCTGACTGCATCTAGGACTCGGGCAATTTCTACAACTTCTCCAACATTCGATATGCGGCGCCCCCTGTTGGGGAGTTGAGGTTTGCGCTTCCTCAACCCCCGGCAGAAAATCGGTCGTCCATCAACCATGGCCATGTTGCCAGGCAAGCAGCGCACCAACAACCTTCCGTACTTTGCTGACAATCACAGAATCTGTCCCCAGTCCAACCCTGCGTGGAATGCACTCGCAGCGCAGGCACTCGGTGCACTAACACTGGGCCTGCCGCCGCCCAATGTGACGTATGTTCCACCAGGCGCCAATGCCAGCAGTCCGCTCCCCAAGCCAGACCCCCGTGAGTCTGAAGATTGCCTGTTTTTGGATGTGTTTGCCCCCAAGCAGATTTTTGAACAAGCCGGCAAAGGCCCTGGTGCCCCAGTTCTGGTGTGGATCTACGGCGGTGGATATACTGGAGGCTCAAAGAACTACAATCCCGCCGGTCTGCTTGCTGCGTCCGGAAACAAAACACAGGGCGATATCATCTATGTTGCCATGAACTACCGCCTGGGTGCTTTGGGCTGGTTGAGTGGACCGACATTCCAGGCCGAGGGCGGTGTGTCCAACCTGGGCTTGTATGATCAGCGAATGGCGCTCGAATGGATCCAGAAGAACATTCATCTTTTTGGAGGCGACAAGAACCGAGTAGGTCGGCTCTGCAAGAACACGGCCAATACGACTAACATTTCCAGGTCACCATCCTCGGAGAAAGTGCCGGTGGAGGCTCCATCATGCATCAGATTACCGCATACGGAGGCACCAACGGACCCCCGCCATTCCAGCAAGCCGTGCCACAAAGCCCCGGCTGGCTCCCCATCAGTTCGTCCGTCATACAGGAAAATACATACAACACGTTCCTCAACCTAACAAACGCCACATCCCTGGCCCAACTCCGCGCCTTGTCGTCGGAAGAAGTCATTCGTGCCAGTGCCCAGCAGGTGCAATACTACTCCCCCTACGGTGCCTACACCTACGGACCCGTCGTGGATGGCCTCTTCACCCCTCTCCAGCCCGCCCAGCTTCTTGCCCAGGGCCGATTCTACAAGGACGTGCGTGTCATGGTCGGCCACAATGCGAATGAAGGACTCCTTTTCACGCCCACTTCGCTGACCACCGACGCCAGCCTGGCGGAACGGCTCGCAGAGGCATACCCGGCCACGCCAAAATCGTCAATCGACTACGTTTTGCACACGCTGTACCCGCCCGTTTTCGACGGTTCCTACGGGTACAAGACCAATTTCCAGCGCGCCACTCTCATCAATGCCGAGGGCACCTTTACCTGCAACACGTGGTACCTCGGAAGGGCATTTGGAAACGAGACATACTCGTACCTTTTCGCCGTTCCCCCAGCCATCCACGGACAGGACATTGCGTATACTTACTACGCCGGCGGGGCCTCGAGCAGTGTCACCAACACGACCGTTGCCATTGCCATGCAAGAATTCATTACGAGCTTTGCGGAGACGGGCGTGACGGCGGCAAAGGGTATCCAGCAGTTCAACATGTACGGCCCCGACGCAAAGGTGCTGGAGCTGAACGTTACGGGCATTGAAGAAATCCACGACAGCAATGCCAACGCGCGGTGTGCATGGTGGCAGAAGGCGCTATACTAGACCCGAACGAGTAACGACTATGAGACACGAACGGGCGATGGCTGGTAGTAATGAATAATCAAGATGGATGCAAAATTTAGTGTTCCCGTTAGCTGCAATCGCGATTTGGTTTGCCATGCACATGCACAGCACATGCACAGCACATGCACTTGCGCATGGGGAGCTTGGTGCCCACTTTTCCGCTTGGCTGATCATATCGACGTCATACCACAGGAGCCGACTCCACGTCCCACGTCCGCGTATCCTTTAAAGCTGTCGTCGTGCCCGCACTCTGCACAACCCTCACTTCAAGCTCTCTTCACCCCCCAATTGCCCTTTTCCTCTACGCTCAAACACCCCTTTCGCCGCTCGAATCCCATCCAAACACAAACAATCACCATGTTCCGTCAGCAGATTGCCCGCCAGGCGCGTCTCTTCAGCACCACGCCCGTTGCGCGCAAGAGCCCGGTAGAAGTCATCAAGGATGCCGCCAAGAAGGTCGACCAGACCATTTCCGGTGCTGCTGTAAAGGGCATTGAGAAGGGCGGTACGTACTCCCCTGCTGTTGATTCCACCCGATGCTCAGTCGTCTTCACATAGCCGAGAACATGACGACATCATACGGTTCGATGGCTTCATTATACTCTACTTGCACGTCAGAAAGCTAACATGTACTGCGTTGAACAGAGCAAGTCGCGGACGCTGTCAAGGAAGCCACTCCCAACACTACTGGCGAGGCCAAGGGCCAGGCGAGCCAGATGGCGGGTGAGGCCAAGGGAAAGGCTAGCGAGGTTGCTGGACAGGCAAAGGGAAAGGCGGCCGAGGTCAAGGGCGAGGCAAAGAGCAAGATGTAAAAGGAGACATGTGTACTGGGACAAGAAAATTATAATGACCACAAGCCATGCCATGTGAGCATAGGAGCCCGCTTGGCCGAATGAATGAATAATGTTTCAATGAGAAGAGCAGTCTGAGTAGCGATGCTAGTGGTGATGCTTACAGTGGGCTTGTGCATCTCATGTCAGTAGTCCTGGGGCGTTGTACCAACGACTCATCCCTGCTAGTTTCTCTCGTTGATGTATTGCTACCAAGTTTTGTCGTGGAAGTGGCTAAATCAGGTTTTGTTGAATTATTAAGGTTAACTCGCATCGTTTGTTTACCATGTAAACAGTAGATGTAGCTTCAAGCCAATCGTTACCCAGATACATTGCATGAGTAAGTCTTGAATAAAGTCGAGACTAGCGCTAGTTGGACCAGGACCAACGAGCTTATTCGCGCGATAGATCCAAGCGAGGTGAAGTGCTCGCTTGCTAATTACATCAGAAGTTATCGTACTATACCATACCGTCAACAAGGAAATTATCTACTGAATAATTCGTATTGTAGCTCCTATTCACATGGTAGCATTGGAAATCGCCGCATAAACGAAGGTTAAGGAATAGTTTTCACCGTACAATCGGTAATTTAATAGACAGGGGCACTGAAAAAGAGTTCCGACCCACGAGAATAATTTTCTTTGTTGGAGATGCTGCCCTGTTTATCTGATATATATATATCGCTCTAAGCCAAACACATAAGCTCAGCTACAATCCCAACACACCAAAGAAGATACCGCCTAGGATTTGGAAAAAGAAAAATGGCTATTGAAATAGCATCTTGGGTGCTTGATTTCGCAGCTTCGCGAGAGAAAATATTATTCCGCCATTATAAGGAACCATGGAATGCAGCCATCAAGTCCTTTTCCATGTCTTGTTTCTCCGCATTGTGTGCAGTCAAGTCTTGTTCTTGCTCTTGCTCTTTTACATGGCATCTCGTCTCCTCTCCTCTCTCTTCTTCCCTTCCCTTCCCTTCCCTTCCCTTCCCTTCTCTTCTCGTCGCTTTATCCACATCTTCCCTGACATGTCACTGACAACTTGACACTGATCCAACAACAACAACAACAACAACTTCTACATGACAAGCGTAATCACCATGTCCAGCTCAAACACGTCATCTTTCTACCCCACAGTCCTTCTGCATCACGCAACTATGATATCGTGAGTTTTCCAGAGTTGCCGGATAGCGGAAGAAAAGAAAAAAAAATACTCTCTTCTCCTTGCATGTGTTTGCATCTTTCTCTCTGTTGCTTGAGCCATGCGACCAATGTGTATAAAGAGGTGATTTTTGGAAAGAATGAGATGCTATCTGGATCGACGGTTGGCGAGTGTGTCCTGGGGGGAATGCTAGTAAAAGTTTTGTATGAATGGGGGATGTCTGGCAAGTCATCATAAAGTCAGATTGTTGAAAAGTCGAACTGATGTGCTCGGGATATGAGGAGTGGCTGCGGTATTCTATCGAGGGCTTGATGCTACATGTTTTTTTTTTCTCCCAAAGAAGGTCTATTTTGTTCTCCTTGTGATGACGTACTCTATCCACATACTCGGCATCTCTTCTGGAAATCTCCTGACTGGCCTGCAAGATCATCTCACGAGTAATCCCTTTTCCCTCGAGATACTCCTTGTAGACTACAGTGACTGGGTGACCAGCAACGAGGATGCGCGTCTTGGACTCTGCCAGTATCTTAGGAGCAATATATCTCCACAGTGTGATAGAATTCTTTCTTATGGCAGAGTCCAATTCACGGGGACTTGTGCTCTGCTGTCAGAGGTTTTACGGTCCAGTCGTCTCGAGTACATGTTGATATGCAAGATAGATTTGGTTGGGTACCCATTTGATCCAATCGAAATTTGCATATGATGTCAGCCATGAATGTGGTATTGTTTACGCGCTAGCCCAGGTGAGTAGTCGACACTGGATCAGCTGCTGCGTACGGAATACCCCATCGTGCTATTGGCATACATACTTCCCATGGCTTGGAAAGTCAGCTTGAATCATGTCAAGCCATGGAAATAGCATTGACGTCTTAATTTCTATTACATCCATCTGGACCTTGCAGTCATGATGTATCTTGATAGCCAGTGTGTAGGTTTTCGCCGGCCGACTCATGCAGTGGCGGAGCAAATCCTCATATTCCCCTAATCGTCTTTAAGCCCCTGCATCATGGGCCGAGACGGACCAAGTTGTAGCCGAACTTGAGTAGTGACCTCGGTAGTTTCTGGTCCAGGCAGTGGCCAAAGAGCTGCTCATCCGTGAGAAACGGAGCTTGTCTTTCATTGATAAAGCTGTCGCGAGAGTCGACATGAACAGTGTCTATATTAGTATGCTAGGAGATATTTCCGTCGGAAGCTGAAGACGTAGAGTCGATTGGCGCGCTAATTAGAATACTTCACCTCATAGCAACAGTGGTGGTGTGTAATAATCGTACTCGTTGCAATGCTTCACTTCGTGGTCGCGGAATTCAGTCGCTGTAAAAACTCGGTGTATGAGCTAATCTTCACAAAAGCGAGATTGAGTAAAAAGACAGTGATGTAAGAAAACTATATAAACGCGTTCAAACAAGACTAATCCATATGCAACACAAGCCCAAGACCTCTCAGAAACCAAAGCATCCGAAAAGCACGCACCACCGCACTGGACCAGAAGACAAGACAAGAAAACTCCGCAGTGAAAAGAAAAGCCCTACATACACACACACAGAGAGAGAGAGAGGTGTATGACAAAGCGTAAGCAAGAGCTCGAATAGCTCGGAGAATCCACACACCAGTGACTAACCATGTATGTAACAAAGTAAACGAGACATGAGTTGAAATCAAAAAAAAGTCAGTGCACAGAACTCAGCAGCAGTGCATAGAGTATTTCTTATTAGAAGCAGGGTTAAGAAACAAGATGGAGTAAGTAGTTGGTGTACGTCAAGTCTTTGCCTTGGGTCTGGCTGGGATCTTGTGGAGTTGTTCAGGTGATATACTGCTTGGCTGCGTCTACTTACTGCATTTGCTATGATGTGCTGTGTTGCGGGATCCGTTGTTTCGGCATGTTGAAAGCACTCGTAAGATAAGGAAGTAAGTGGGTGTCGGTGGTGCTGGCTTCTGGTGAGATGTATTCACCCATGCGACGAGGTATGTACACGTTGTCTATGCTTCATATATATGGGAGGGAAGATGCGACGACAAAGGAGAACATGGTTCATATCAAGAGTACAACGAAAATCAGCGGGACAAGTCAAAGCACAGATGAGAATCAGATTTGATTAATCCTTGTCGAGAGCTACATACATGCTATCATCACGAAGCAGCAGCTGAACAAAAGATGAATTATCCCTCCCAAATTCCTCCAAAATCCACAGGGGAATACATTAATGTGGAATCATGATCGGGGACATGGATATCGTAATGTGATGGAAAAAGACAGCACAGTGTCATTCATAGCTCAAATGAAGGCCTGAATACGACATGTAGACGTGAAATCGTTCTCGATCCGGTCGTAAAGATGGTGCGTGCGCGTCCTTAGATAACGGCGACCAGGGCCACGGCACCCATGGCGACAAGCGAGCCCATTCCACCAAAGGGTGTAGCAACGGGTGCGGCATTGAAGGACTCGGAAGGCGTAGGGCTCTCGACTGGCTCGCCAGGGCTTCCGGACGAGGATGGCGCCTCGACAGTCGATGTGACGGACGCGGACGGAGAGGCCGAGGGAAGGCTAACCGGGGCCGTGGTAGCAGGAGCCGATGGGGGAGTAACCGGCTCTCCAGACGACGGAAGAGGGCCTGAAGGAACGACGGCACCAGACGTAGGAACGGGCTCCTGGGGCATGACGGCGCTAGTGATGGGCTCAGAAGGAACACTATTGCCAACATCAGACGCTAGCCCCGATGTAGCAGGAGGAGGAAGAGGCGCATACGACATTGGCTGCGTAGGAGCGGGTCCAGGCAGCGAGACGCACTGCGTGACCGTGACAGTGACCGTGGTAGGAGGCGCACAGCTAGCTGTACATGAATTAGCCGGCGATACGAAGAATTGACCTGGCATTTTTCTTCAAAACTCACAATCAGTAGCGACGACGGCTAGCGCGAGCAGGGCCGCAGCGAAGATGTTGAGGCCGAACATGATTGGTGGCGGTCGAGAGAGCGAGCAATGTGGTGGGATATGGTAGCGCTGGGTTGAATGGATGCTCGAGTTGAAGTGATGCAGCCGCAGAGATGATTAGGTGGGGAGTTGGGCGGGCGTTGAAGAGCAAGCGATGAGGCGGGGCAAAAGGACTTGTTTATGGTGGGCGTTTGCAGCCACGGCAGAGACTTGGCCCGGCCGCTGGCGATAAGCGGCGCGGTGAGTGCAGGTAGGAAAGTGAAAGTGAAGGAGCTACCGTGAGTGGGGCGTGCCCTGTTTGTGTTGGGTGGTACGGATTGGGAAGTCGCCTGTATTGATATGATAGCACTGCTTCTTGGCTAGAGATGCCGTCTGGGAGGAATGCAGATATTCTTGACATGTCCAATCCTGTTTTCATTTTTATTAATGCTTTGAGCCGTCGAACCGCCTTGGTATAAGATGGGGAGATGTCTTGCTTGCATCTGAGAAATCTACTACGTATCTATTAATTCCTGGTTGAAACAGTGATTCCACGAACACGACATTACTACTATGTATGTCTTCTTTATCACTGCTGTGGGAAAATATAGTGCTGGGATCTAGGATGTTAAAAGCACAAGCTCTACATTAAAGACCAGAATCGCGGGGTAATAGCAGTAGTAATAATAGCAATTGATATATAAACTATACATTAACACCTACAATATAAATATCCATGTATTAGATAAGAAGTAAGAACACTAACTTGATAGATTCACAAAGAATCTCTTTCACGCACATAGCCTGTATCCATCTCCCCCTTCCCCCCTTCTCTCTCATTCATCTCTCAATCTCTTTCTTCCTTTTATTCACACGAATAATTCCAATCTAGACATTCATGCAAGTTGATATACACATCGTTCTCTCTATCTACAGTAGCAAATAATAATACCAAGAACTAATAACTATAAGAAAATGCCTTCATGTCGAATATCAAGAGAGAGAGAGAGAGAGGAAAGAGAACAGAGAAAAGAAAATAGAAAAGAAAAGGAAAAGAGTAGACATCACACAAGTACAGCAGTGCACACATACCTACACTACACTACACTACACTAGCCTAGCCTAGCCAAGCCTAGCCCATATACCCCAGCATCACTGACTTACTTGCTCCCCACACCAAACCCACTTCCCTCGTTACAGTTACGAGAGCATACTGCAGTACGTAATCGTGTTCAGATTCGGCTTCGCATCGCTTTCCCTCGCATTGCTTTGCTTTATATTGTACGTAGTAGATTGTTTTCATGGCACACGACGAGAGATTATATAATAACACATGACAACATATTACCAGACAATCTATTAGATTAATGCCAACTCACACTTGTGCATAGACCTACATTACCTAAGCTTAGGCACAAGTGCGAGCACAATTATAGTGCTACATCTCAGTCATTTTCCCTACACAAATGCACAAATCCAGCGACAAATGCCAATTACAAATTCCAAGCCATTGAGTGCAAAGTCAGTGAGATATCTAAGCCCACATGCAAGACGGTGAGAAATTAAACCAAAGTGAGAAAGTAGAGCAAAGTGAAAATGTAGAGATAGACGGACAAAGGGAGAAAGGGAAAAAGGAAGCAAGGAAGAGAGAGAGAGAGAGAGAGAGAGAGAAAACGACATCACCCGACCATTCCCATATTTCCCCCCTGCCAAACCACACGAAACGAGCCAAGCATACGGCGCTTACCTGTAGCAGGCCTTCCATCTCACGTGTTGTTATACAGGGTCAAGTTTTCCTAGCCCATCTTATCTTATCCTAGCTCAGCTTAACGCATCTTAGCCCAGCCTATCCTAGTCCAAGTAACACGCAATTCTACATGCAGATAGGAGCTAAAAGCTAGTAATGCTGCGAAATAAGGTGTGTATTGCGAATGAGTGCAGCGGGCCGAATCAAAGGGGCGTTATGTAGGTTACGTGTCGCATATGTACGTACATACATGTGTGCATAGATGCATACCAAGATGCATACAAGAGGGTATAGTTGAGCTCTTGGTAGCCCAAAACATGCCTTGTACAGGCCATGTGTTGACAAGGGGACAAAACATTGACTCAAGCAGAGAGAATTGGCGAGATGACGAGATAACGAGATGGCGAGATGGTGAAATGGTGAGGTAGTTGGATGGAGAGATCGACAGAGAGATGGTGAGAGATAGAGTGTGAGAGAAACAGGCAAGGTAATCCCCAGAGAACAGCCGAAGTTTAAGATTAAAAAAGGTAATCATTGCGCCCATACTGATACCACCGTCTAGATTTGTCCTGATGGTCCCCGTGAGATTTCCCTATGTGGACAAGGCCATCTGACGACAGAATGGTACGAGAAATCCAGTATTACCCGTGTACGAAAAGCGTTGAAGCGAGCCAAGAGTGAGCAATCTTCGTGGGGCCAAAAAAAAGCTCTGTCGGCCTTCTCGCAGCCACGTGGGGCAAATCAGAGGTCTAGCTGTGAGGCAACTAAAGTCTTAGCTATAAGGCAAGTCGAATAAAACATGCCACTGTGTGGGCTTGGGCCAAGGCCGAGTCAAACACAGCCCCCCTTCACCAACCACGTGCTTGTGTACCATGCAAATAACGTCAATAGCATTTAGCTACTATAGTGGCGCGTCCGTATCAGCACTATCGAGTTAATCTAGTCGAACATGTGGAGAAGGCTTATCGCTTCTAGTTTCAGAAGGCGAGTGGAAGACCAGCTACGACTCAGTAGCATCCGACAGCGCATTGCAGTACGCTTAGAGGTTCGCCCAAGACCACCCCACTCGTATATGCGCGTGCAACTCTGGACATTCTGATCCTACATGTCATGTCCAAAGGCCCGACAACCGGTGTTGTTCAAAGTGCGGCTGGGTCCACCTTGGAGGTTGGAGAGACTATGCAGATGCTAGGGTGGCCGTTGGACCCTCAAACCACGCCCTTGGTGCGTGGGAAGTGCAGGGTAGCTGAGGACGGCATGCCAACAGTCGACTCGAGTGGCCAGGGGCGGGGCGCTTCCGGTGCTCTCGTGCGGACTGGTGTTGACTGTTTGCGCGACAAGACGACAGAGGGCCAATGGCGGGCGGACGGCGTTACATGGATTACGTGAATTACATGGATGTCGACCCCAACGCGTCAATTGCAGAGTTTCTTCGTGTCCCCTTGCCGCGTCATATGCAGGACATTGGCTGCGCAGCCGTTGAGTTCCCCACTGATTAAGGGTTGGAGCTAAAATGGGCTGCGCAAAGCGATAGCGAGCTGCTACAAGCACAAGTATATGTCTACTGTAGGTACATATGCTTGGTCGTGGCTAGTGAAAAGGTGGCTGTCGAGGTGCCGTTTCTTCCGTGGCTGATGACGCACAAGGTGGCCAGTGTATGCATTCGTATATGCGTTCATGTATGTATGCATTCACAGAACGAGGCAGAAAAGACGTGTTTTCAGTTGGAGCGTTTTTCCTTGTCCTTGCAAGGTTGCGTGTCGTACACGACTAGGCGGCTTAGGCCAAGGTGTATGATCCAGGCAGATGGTTGCTAGGAGAAGAAACAAGACGAACGAGGTGGGGTTCCAAGGCGATCCGGTGGGCCCGCGCAACAGTCTCGCCAGGCTTTCATCGATAAGCAGCCTTGGTACTCGACAGGCAAGCCAAGGCAGCCATGGAGCGTCTTGTGTGTATGTGTGTACGTAGCATGTACTATATGTGTCCAAGACCGGCGGCAGATCCGTCAGGGGACATTACACCCACACACCTAGCACGGGCATACAGCGGCTTGCGGGGCAATTGTCTTGTTGTAACGCGCCCGATGCCCGTGGCCGCTGACAGAAGACCTCTCGGCGGGACCTGGGAGCCCAGCGCCGCAGTCGCGGACCTGCTCAACGGCTCGAGGGCATCATGGGAAACCGACGAGAAACCGATGAGAAACCAATGGAGGAAACCGAAATGCGCCATGAACAGCACTCTGCGCCTGGCTCAGGTCAGCGGCCGGTTTGGGTTAACGTGGGTACCGCTGATGAGAAGGAAGTTGACTCGGGTCGGTTGTGGGCCAACTGGTGTGCAGGGCTGCCAGGGCGAGGGCGTGTGCCCAGCTAGCCGACACGGCATATCCAGCAAAGCCAGCAGTGGTGAAGCCGCAGTGCAGCAGCCGAGAGGGTTTGTATGGGTCGCAGGTGCCCTCGGGGGAGACGAGGGGAGGCGAGGGCAGGCGAGGGCAGGCTTGGGGGAGGGGACGGCGACGAGGGAAAAGAGGGGTTTGGGCGAGAGAGGGTGTGATTGGGCGGGTGGGGAGCACAGGAGCGTGGTAAGCGAGCCAAGGCGGGTGATTAAAGCCCCGCGGAGCATAGCGCGCCGGAGGGAAGCGCCGAGGTGGAGGAAACGACCCGAGTGCCGTGTTTCGCAATTGCTATGTGATTTGCACGTCAGCGCCAGCGTGCGACGGCGACGGCGAAGACGAGGGTGAGGGCGAGGGCGAGGGCGAGAACATGTGCATGTCCATCCGACTAAGCACTTCGGCGTGGGCGGCGCGTTGGTCCGGCGCCAATCATGCCCGTCAGCCGCTTCGTTTGGGGAGGTCCACGCGCAGGCACACAGCTCGTGCGAGCCTGCAGGCGCTTCAAATGAATCCACAGCCGTGCCATGCAGGCCCTCTACATATACACTACGCCTGCCTCTGCCTGTGCCTGCCCCATTGATGCTGTAACCATGTTGCTTGTTCGTGCTCATTTCCTGGCCTGTGTTGAGCGCGATACAGCAGCGTCGGGACATGTTCGGCCTGACTCGCCGCCCAACCCGGCGACGGACGGGAATAACGGAAGAGGCGTCGGGCATGTTCGTCTGCCGACCCGGGGACCCAAGGTCAGCAATTCTGTGATGCAACCTGTTATCACCGCCTGCTATTATACCTCGACTCGCTATGGCGGACGACAAGGCCGGCACTGAGGAGCATGCCACTGCTGTCGCCACACATGCAAGATCATGCAGCTAGCCGTTTGCTCGACTACAGTAAAGCCGTGCGCCGCGGCTTCGAGGCATTGCATGGTCCCTGGGCGGTGCCCGACGACGTCACTTTGTCTACACGACCCCATTGTCCGGCCAACGTCGACGCCGACGGCGCCAGCCTGGTGGAGAAGAAACGTGGTTGGGAAGAGGTTCGTGGCGGGTGCGCGAATACAAAGCAAAGAAAAGCCAGGAGGGGGTCCAGGCCAAAATCGCTCATCAGCCTCGCAGGTGAGGCCACAAGATGCCGTCCGTCCCCTTTGCTTTGCCGACGGACGGATATTGATAGCGGTTTCGAGAGGGCAGAGGGGCCTGCCATTGGCGCCGGGGACGTGATAGGGCGGCTAAGATCGGCGTCGGAGATATTGCATCTGGGACGACATGAGACGCGACAAGACGGGGACACAGCGGTGCGGCCTTGGACGACGGTCGAGGGCGTGGGTGTTTGGCACGCCGCAGCGTCTTTGCTTACCCGACTGACTGGCAATGGCGGCGCTGGCGGGGCTCATACAAGCGGCCGGAGTAGGGGCCAGGCCCTATGACGTGAGTGGCTCGGCATGTCATGGAGGGAAAAAAAAGCTGCCCGTGACAAATAACACGTCAGGTTTTCATCTCGTAAGGTGAGCAACATGTGCGACAATGGCAACATGTGCGAAATTCGCCAATCGCCGCATGTCGTGAACCCTCGGGGAGCAGCGCAGCCATGTGCATGAGCCGGGGTCAAGACAGGGCACCGGTTGTTTTTCCAGGGCGCGTGCAAGGACGTGTATCTGTGTTGGGATGCCAGCGAAGCCACGGCTGCGAGGGCGGGGGCACGGCCATGGGCTGTGGTGGTGGTGACTGCTTGCCGCTGTCATACAGCGTGTACATGCTGCTGCTGCTGCTGCTGCTGCGCTGCCATGACGGCAACCACTGTATACCTACACTTAGATACTAGAGCACGCGGGCGGTCGTGGCATGGTGGTCGGCGACTGCCTGTGTCGAACCGACTGTGGGCTATTGGGAGATCGACACGCACGACCTGGCACGGCAGCGTCGTCGGAGCGCAGGGCGTGTGCATGCGTGTGTGTGAGTGGGTGAGTGGGTGAGTGGATGAATGGGTGAATGGGAGGGGTTTCGATGAGATCGTGGCTAGGCCCGATATGGCAGCTCGCTTATCTGGGGATTCCGCCATGGGCCGGGGCAGACCTTGTTCGTCATGGGAAATCCACAGGCGTCCAGGAGGTTGGGTTGCAGTGTGACATGCACCCACGATCGCGATCTCGCCGGCGCCAGAGCGTGAGCCAGCGGACGAAGTGGACTAGTGTGTTGCGAGGGACGACGACGGCGGCGACGACGGCGACGGCGAGCGTGACCAGGCGGCAGAACAGGACATGGGCGTGTTTTGGAGGCCGGGGCGGGCGCGATAGGTACATGCGGTATACATGCTTACAGGTATACATGCTTACACCTACATGTACAGGCGACGGGCCCACCCACGTCGCATGTGCTGCGCATTTTGCCCAGAAGGTGCAAGCGGCGACTTGCTCGCCAGAGGGCGCGAACTCGCTACCGAGCGCATTGTCAGCCGCAGCGGTCGGTCGGCAGGTCACGGACGGCGGATACGAGCCAAGGATGGCGTGGCAGGTGGCCTTCGCACAGTCCAGTCGACACGAGGTGCAGGCTAGTGTAGCCGACCAAGGGCCAGCGATTGCATTTGTGGCAGCGTCTGCGCTGTATTGCTGCGATTTTCGATCTCGATCGCGATCTCTCTGTCCTCGCCGCTCCGTGGTGGCCTCTGAGACGACGCCCCTCTGCGACAATAGCCGGCGCGGGCTCCGGGGCCTTGGTGGGCGCCCAAACCAAACAAGCAGGTGCATAGTCAGGTACTCCTCTTTGGCAGCTTGGACAGGCGGTGCTGACTGACAGGCGGACAGAGAAGGCGCGAGAAGAAGAAGAAGACGACGACGACGACAGATGTCGGCGCTGGTGCTGTGGGCGTGCGAGCCAGGCCGACGCCGACGCCGTGCCCCCGTGTCACTTGGGGCCTTGAGCGGGACATGCCGCAGCGATGCGAGTGGGCTGGAAAGCGCGCAGGCCAAGAGAGCAGCAGGGCAGCGGGCGACATGGTATTTTGCTGTCTGAGGGCGGCATCAAGGCGGCGGTGGTGGTGGTGGTCTGCGGGCGTGGGCGAAGGCGTGGGCGTTGCCTGGCGGGCGAGTGCCGAGAAGAGGAGGGCTTGGGGGGGCTTGGGGGGGCTTGGGGGGGGGGGAGGGGGGGGGAGGGGAGGGGCCACACTACCCATTCCCATTCCACCGCACGCACAGCACAGCACAATACGCACACGCACACACCCACACACACGCCCATGCGCACCCGCACACACATCCACACACACCACACCCACACACACACCCACGCCCACACACACACCCACAAACACACCCACAAACACACTGCCACAGCCAGTGAACCTGGCACGGGGCTAGGCCTCAAGCCAGGCCCAACCCAGCCGCGTGTTGCTGGCTGCTACGCTGCTAGGTGCTAGGTGTACTGCTGCTGCGGTGCTGCGGTGCTGCTACTGCCTGGTGCACGCTGTTCCCCTCTCCCCTCTCCAGGGCGGCCGGACGGGCACCCGCCAGCCGCTGTTGGCCCGCCATTGGCTGCACCCGCCTGCTGCTGCCACGCCGCCGGGGCCGCTGGGAACGGTTGCTGCTGGCTGCTCCTGCCTGTTGCTGGCTGCTCCTGCCTGCTGCTGCTGCTGCGTTGCGCCTGCCGCCCGCCGCTGCCTCTGCCTGGCCTGGCCTGGCATTGGCATTGCCATGGCCACCGCGCTCAGCAACCTCGCCCCCCCCCCACTCACATCATTTCACCCTGGGCCCTCACCTCACTCTCTCCCCCCTCCCCTCCCAGGAAAAAAAAGAAAACACACAGGTCCGCCTTTGCTTCTTCCTGTCTGGTCGTTTTATAACTTGATATACTAGGCAAGCCTGCGTCTGCTCTCCCGCCTCCTACCATACCTGCCATACCTAGGCCTGCCTGCCTGCCTGCCTGCCAACCTATCTGTTACCAACCACACCAACCACACCCACCACCACCACCACCACCTCCCACCCCTCGCTCTCGCTCTCGCGCTCCACCAACCCGCTGCCGCTCCACAAGCCTCCGATGCACACGCTCTTCTCGGTCATCGTCGCATTACCCTGTATTCCTCCGCTAACATCCGCTGCCTGTTGATCCCGGCCTCCCTTCCCCCCCCCCCGGCCCGCTTTTCAAAGATTCGTGCGCATCGAAGCCACTCAGCTCCTCCGATCGCTGCCACCCCAGCGCCAGACCCCTTTGCCCACACCAATCTACTTCTTCGCTGCACCTGCGGCACCTCCTGCCCGCTCACACTGCCTCACGTCACTCGTCGCGTATCTGAATCTGGCTTGCTGCTGTCCGAACCCTGTCGTTGCCCTACCTGAGGCCTCTATTAGCTTCCTTCTTTTTCGGCCCATCTCCAAGCCTGCTCCGCCCTCACCTTGTCCCGCGTGGACAGTCGCCACTTTTCCCCTCTCCCTTTACATACTTTGGCTCGCCCACCCCCAACTCCTCGCTCTCCCCCCTTACAATTCCTCCTCACAGTCGAAGTCGTTGCTAGACGTACCCCTCGAACTGTCCCTCTCCCCCCTCCCACCCCCAAAAAAAATCAGCTCTGCCCTACCCTGCCCCATCCCGCTTAGCCACCCCACTGTCGCCACCCACACACCACCACCATTGTCGCCCACCGCCGGTTCCTGGACCTCACCATGCCTGCCGAGCGTCGAACATTCACCGCGGCCAGACCCGTCAAGACGGAGCGCACCCACGAGGAGAACCAGGAGCGGTTAGTCATTCCCGCGCCAGCTCTTTTGTTTGTTTTTGCCTCGTCTTCCGCTCCCATGCTGATGCTCAACGCAGTGCTTATATTGCGGCCTCGCGCCGCAGTGATCGCAGTCTCGAGGCTCGCATTGAGTCTGCCCGTAGAGCTTCCGAGATCCACAAGAAGCGTACTGGTCGTGCATTGCGTGTAACGGAGCAGGATGTCATCAATGAAGAAATGTACGAAGAGGAGGACGATGACCTGCCCACGCAATACCAGCGCCTCAACGCGCACCTGCACACGACATCGGTCATGTTTAACAAGAAGCTCCATGACTATATTGCCACGCAACATGGCGTCAGAAACATGTTCATGTCCCAGTACCAAAACCAGAGCCCCACGTTCCCCCAGTACGGTGCCCAGTTTCCCGTCAGCGGCGCCACGTTCCCCCAGGCAAGCAATTGGCTGAGCCCGACGATGCTCCCACCGCAGCAGTTCACTCCTTCGTCTCCCCAGGCTTTCCAGCAGCCCCAGTCGTTCAGTCCCACCACTGCCCAGGCCCAAGGATATCGCCAGTCGCCCTACCACGTCCCCCAGCGCACCCAGTCGCACCAGCGCGCACTGTCGATCCAGCTCCCCCAGGCACCCACCCAGTTTGATCAGCCAAGCGCCGCCGCCGCCACGACGCCCCAGCCCGAGTTCAACCGACGACTGTCTCTACCGCCTCAAGCTTTCCAGCATGCAAGCCAAGCTGCTGACCAAACCGCCACGCCTTCGCTCACCCAGTCGCCTACGGCCCACCCTCTCCAGCAATCCCAGTCGTCTTCACCGCAGACCGCCTCCCCAGCAGCCGGCTCTGTCAAGGAAGCCCTGCGAGTTCCAAGCGGCGCCAACAGTCCTTCTTCGTATACGTTTAGCCCACCCATCTACCCTTTCAGTTCTCAGGCCTTCAGCAACACCCCGTTGACTTTGTCGATGCCGCCCGAGTCACAGCAATTCCTTGGATCTGTCCTTGACCCCAACGATGCCCGCACAGCTACGCTCATGGCCGGCAGTGAGAATCTGCCCCAGCCCTTTGCTCCCACGTACACGTACAATCCCAACAAGCTGGCTCGAGCATCAAACGGCAACAGCATTTCCGAGACCATGTCCGGGTCCGCGCAAACACTATCATCGGGGCTCAACCTGAAGACAGACGCTGTATCCGACACGTCCTCTACTTCGCTCTCCGACTCCTTTTTTTCCACCGACCCGTTTCTGTCCCCTGGAAATGCTGAATTCAGTGCATTTTTCGACCTTCAGGGCGGCGACTATCCGCACTCGTTTGACGACCAAGACAATGTTAGTAGCCTGATTAACTGGGATCAGTAGTGGCATTGCTACTTTTTATTCTTATTCTTCTTTATCTTCTTCTTCATCCTACCGCCAGGCGTACTTGTTCTGCTGCACACGCTGGTTCTTGAATACTCTCCATTTTTCTCCTGTTTCCTTTACATGTTTGGGGTATCGATTTGGATTTTTACACGCACATGATACCTCTTGCACAGTGTCGTTTAACGATGTCACGACTGAAGGCGTTGCCCGGAGTCAGTCTTTTTGGTCGTGTCGCATCGGAAAAGAACGCCAGACATTGTTGGCGGAGATACTTATTATAGTATCCATGGTTGGGGGGGAGCGGTGTTTTTTTACGTTGCCTTACCAAGCACCGTACCTCTCTGTCTGTGAGAGAAGCAGAGACACCCTCCTCAAACACTCTGAACTGAGGTATTGCCTGTACAATATAATAATGGCAGCAGCTCTTCTGGGCTGCATGCACGCATCACTTGTTCCTTGCCTTGATCTATTCGTGACGTATAAATGTGTCACGAGACTCATCTACATTGCCCATTGGTCACTCATGAGATATGATTTGTTCCAGCAATTACAACCCTAGAGACCCATGCACACGCCTCAAGGGGGGAACAGTAAACTCGAAGCAGCAATAGTCAAAAATGCAACAGTGTCATTGCACCACCGACGTAACAAAGCGGGCCGTTACGGATAGTGTAACATGACGTGTAACCATGCAAGGCGTCACTCTTATTCTCTTTGTTTTCCCGCTGTCACTAAATTGTCATTTTCCTCTTTTTCTTTTTTCCCCTTGTCACACCGCTGGTTCATCGACCGAGTGCAAGAAGTGAGCCAAAAAAAAGAAACCCCTCAAATTCTTGTGCTTGTACCTGTGAAATTGGGGGCTAGCCCATCTACATGTTTGTATTCCTTGGTTCATAGGGAAAAAAAATAGAGTCTACGGGTATGGGTTAGTATGGGTTCCTTGGTAAAGGGGAGGGGGAGGAGCAGGGGAAGCAGGGACCGCCTGGTTTCCGAGATGTCATGTGCAGGAGGTACATGAGGGGCTGGGGGAAATATTGTGTTGTATTGCACTGTACTGTATTGTGGGAAATTGAAGCATGCAGATATCTGGAATCATGTTCACTCCCATATCGACGAGTGAATTGCAAGACTGTCAGACATCCCCATACCAACTACAGCTACCCTGCAACCCTATCACTTGGCACATGTACAAGCCTAGCCACATACCCGACCACTCTTGCACACCAAGCACGCCATCCTGTTCCTCGAGTGACTCGAGTCCATTACCTCGCAACGGCACTGCACTACGCTCAACAACAATCTGCCCCGTATGTCCATCACCACTATACTCTTAACCTGCCATCACTAAACTCCGCCAGGTCCCTGTGCCACCAGGTGTCAAGTCGCCGCACTGCAGTGCGACAATCGGCCGGCGCACATCATTTACCCACCCGCCGTCAAACTCCCCCACACTAACACTCAATCTCGACTTGAGCGTTACACGCTGCATGCATTGCAATTCGCCCCGGGCATCGTCTGCATGCGTGGAGATGGTTGTATCTACGACGTCGACATCTGCTCGATTGCGCAAACTACTAGTTTATGATAGAACGACTTTGTTTAAGCAATGAGAAACAAGATAGAGCGGCACAGAGTGGCGTCAAGGCTTGAGTCTAGACACGACACCAATCGTCAAGCCAAGAGGGGATAGCCGTGTCTGTGTTCCTAGCACGCAATTCCGCCCGGGAACTATGTACAATGCCGTCCGTGTTGCTGGCATCTCTGTTACTTTTGCATTGCAACCACTCCACCCGTCTCCCCCCTTTCTCCAAGAATCTATCTTAGCTAGTCTCGTACAGAGATGGTCCAGTGTTGCAGTGATACAGGGAAACGACAGAAATTGGGGATATAAAGAGGGCAAGGGACAGGTCGAGGCTTCAAGAACTAGCTCCTCAGCTGTTTTGTTAGGAAGTCCAGACTCTCGTTTTTTTCTCACTTGCTATTCACCGCTCGCTCTTTTTATTCTGCACTCGCTCCAAGACTTGGTTGGACACGATACTAGCAGTCATGAAGATTAGCTTTTACGTGCCTTTTGTAGCGTTTGCTACTCTGGGTGGTGCTGAACACCCTCCTTGTATGATGGTCTCCTTTCTAGCAGGACTGATATCTCGTGCTGACATGTTCTTGTTCAGTCAAGTTTCCTCACTTGCGACAGCGGCAGTACTCTGCTCCGCCGTACTCGCCCGTCTATCCCAGTGCAAGCAGCAGTGACACGCCGTCCAGCATTCCCAGTACATCCCTGACCTCGCTGTCCTCGGGCGTCTCGCACACGACTGGGATTCCGGCTACGGAAACATCCTCAGTGCCCTCCAACTCGACAGCTCCAGGCCCATCTACAATCCTCATCACGAGCTACATCGTCGTCACATCCGTCATCCCACCTACATCGTAAGTCCAAATCCCGCAATCCATCGAGTTTTCAACTGACGCTGATACAGTGGAACGGAATCCACATCCACAGATGCCACAGCAAGCAGCTGGGGCAGCAATACCTCCCCTTCCATCTCCATCCCCCTGTCTACTGGCCCCGTCTCCTCCGGCACAGGCTACTACAGCTCGCAGCCTCCCTACCCCTCCTATGATACCTCTGCGCCCTACGCCAAAAGCACCAGCAGCACACCGTCTACATGGGGGACCGGCACGGCCCCGACATCTCCGCCCGCTACCGCCACCACTGTTACCCCTCCGTACCCTTCAAACGGTACTGCAACAGACACCAATACAGGACCTGTTGCTACGTCTAGCGGGGGCACAAACACAACGACTACCTCGTCCGCTCACTACATGCCCCCTGGTAACGTGACGAGTAGCACGCCGTCGGTCGTGACTGATAGCTTTTTCCCTTCGTCCAGCATAGATGTCTCAACTGTGACGTGGGTTACGTATACGTCTGAGGAGTCGTCGAGTGTGACTATCACGGAGACGGAGACGGGGACGCCGACGCCGACGACAGCAACAACGGAGTATCCGGGTGTGTCAAGTGGTACGGTGTCAAGCAGTGTGGTGAGTAGTAGTCCAAGTGTGTCTTCGAAAAAGACAAAGACAAGGACGTGGAGTAGGACATTGACCATGTCGTTTTCGTCTTCTTCGTCTTCTTCGCCGTCGGCTTCAGCTTCAGCTTCAAGCTCGTCTTCAAGCTCGGAGGAGATACCGTCAACTACCAGCAGCAGCACAGAATCCCCCTCTTCATCCACGGCTTCCGAAACCCCCGCTCCATCATCCTATCCCGTTTCCTCCACACTCTCATCCACAAGTACAGATGCGACGGCATCATCCTGGCCCGTCGACTCTTCCTCTTCCTCTGAGACGTTCCCTTCATCCCCCACTTCATCGGCCTCGCTAGCTACAACGTTGACGTCGACGCCAACGGCAACAACATCGCAATACTCGTATTCCTACTCGTATTCCTACTGGACGCCACCGGGTGTTTCTTCGTCGAGTACCACGTCGATTAATACGAATACGGATGCTACGGCGTCGTCGTGGCCTGTTGAGTCTGCTTCTTCGTCATCTTCTTCGTCTTCTTCTTCGTCTTCTTCTTCTTCTTCTTCTTCTTCTTCTTCTTCTTCTTCTTCTTCTTCTTCTTCTTCACCCTCGCCTTCGTCTTCCTCGGAGACTTCATCTTCGCCCTCATCTTCGTCTTCGTCTTCGCCCTCTTCCTCAGACTCCTCTTCTTCCTCAGAATCCTCCTCAGACTCCTCGTCTTGGACATGGCAATCCAGCACCGCAACACCCACAACCTTTGAAACAAGCACAACCCCGACTTCAAGTCCAGGTACCAGCGAGAGCGAGTCGGCGAGTAGCCCGAGTAGCACGAGTGCCAGTGCGAGTGCGAGTAAAACCGGGTACGCGCCTGTTCCCCCCGTACAAACGGATGGCGATGCGGTTGTGAAGCGCGCGCGTGAGCATATGGTATGTTTTTGCTAATTCTCATCTTTCTCCCGTTTCCTCACGTGCCGCAGTGCCCTTTTCGGGGTTTGCACAAAGAGAGAATAAGAAGCTAATGATGAAATGAAATTGAATAGATGAACTTGTGGTTCTTGTAGTGTTGAGCGAGCTAGTTATCTCTCTTTCCCCTGTAGAGCCTGAAGAGAGATAAGACAAGGATCACTGCAATGGTAACGACAATGGCGATGGCGATGGCGATGAAAATGGCAATGAAGATACTGGTTGAGTAGGATCGAGTATCTCTCTTCTTCTCTCTTTCTACTTGTCCTTCATCTTCTTTTTTCTTTCTCTACTTTTTCTTCTTCTTCTCGACTCTCCTTCCAGAGTCCAATAGATATGGGCTTTGCCTTTTTTTTTCTTTCGTTTCTTCTCCTTCTCTCCTACTCTTTTTCATTTGTTGCTCTTTTTTTTTTCTTTCCCGTGGATCACGACGGAGTGTAATGGGGCGAGCTTGATGCGAGGTACGCAGAGGAAGAGGGAAAAAAAAAAAGAGAACGTACAGCGTTGTAGCTTGGTTGACTTGATAGTTTGAATAGCAATTTTTTTTCCTTTCCGAGTAATTCCTCTTGTTCCTGAGAAAGAAAAAAACGTGGGCTACACATCCCATAAACATCTAACAAATCCATTACCAAGCAATCCAGCAACTAGGTCTCTCCCACGCCCCTCACCCTCTCCTCCCAATCCGTCTTGGTCAAGCCCAAATAATGCATATCCATCACCTCGCCATTCTTCTCACAATGGCCCTTCATCACACCCTCATGCACATAGCCACACTTCTCAAAACACCGCACACTCGCCGCATTCGGCGCAAACGCACCGCCCCACAGCCTGCGTAGCCCGCATCCCCGGTCGCCAACCCAATTCTCAAAGGCCCAGTGCGTAAAGCCTGCAAGCGCCTCGCTCATGAACCCGTTGCCCCAGTACATGCGCGCGACCCAGAAACCCACTTCGGCTGTGTGCGCACTCACGTCGCGCCCGGGCTTGAGGCCGATGCCCCCGATTACAACGTCGGGTGCGGATATGGTGCAGATGACAAAGGCTTCTTGGCGGGCGAGCGCTAGGTTCATGGTGATCCAGGCGGTTGCGCTGTCGAGTGTGTAGGGGTTGGGGAACGCGAGTGACATGTATCTTGCAACGAGGGGGTCGTTGGCGTGCTGAGCTGTGGAGGCTGCGTCGGGGAGGTACATGGGCCGGATTATTAGGCGCTTGGTGGTTAGGATGGGGGGTGGGCGTGGTGGTGTCTCTGATTGTTCTTGCATGGTGGTGGTGGGATGTGCTGGGGTGGTTTGGCTGGCCATTGTGGCAGCGCAAAAGGGGGATGAGTGTGGTTCTCGCCGGGAGCCCAGGTGCGGATTTATGTGCGTGGACACCACCAGGCTGAGTCACTTGTTCGACGGTTCGAGTCAAACCGTGCCAGGGCAATGTCCGTATTTCGAGTCTGACTCCAACTGATACACCTTCCTGATGGGATTTCCCGTATGACTCGTTCGCCGGCTCAGGCATCCACAGGCGCTATTTCCAATTCATCGAATCCCACCATGTCATGCGGCCTTTTGTTTCTCGACGTCTGTTTTGGGGCGTTGTTGGAGCGACAAGTCGACGTTGATGTTGATGTTGATGTTCGGCGGCGACGACGGGCCGACCCGCCACGTGAGTGAACGAGGCGTGTGACGTCGTGTGGGCGTGACGCTAGCGTGGGGCGCTAAGACGCGTCTACCGCGTTGGCTGTTCCTGTCTCCGAAAGAACTCCCTGTTGCCCCGCCATGGCGTCTTTTGCACCAAAGTATGTGGGTTGCGTTTGCGTTTGCGTTTGCGCATTTTTTTCAAAGCTAATTAAGGATAGAAAAGTCGTCCGGACGTATTCGCGCCAGTCCAAGCGCCCGCTGTGCGAGGAGCCGCCCACCAAGCGAAGACGCGTCGAAGCCGCAATCGAGAATGTCGAGACCGAGGCGCTGGCAACGACTTCTGTTGTTTCTGCTACACATCAATCGTCACTTGCACGGGACGAATCTCCGCCCCCTACGTCAAGCCCGAAAGAGTCGCCCGCCATCTTCTCGGACCAGCCCGCCCGGTCTAGTCCACCATCGTCGCCAACACCGCGCAGCTCTCCGCCTGTTCAGAGACGACGGCCGGTATTCTCGATATTCAAGAAACAAGCCAAGTCCACAGCGTCCATAAACGAGCCCCGCGCGGAAAAAAGCCAACATGCACATCGCCCGCCCCAGGTGCAACAAAAAAAGAAACCCATGGTGCAGATGCAGCTAGACTTGGCTTCGGAGACGCGCAAAACATGCAAGACGTGCGGAATGCAGTATATACCGTCGAATCTAGAGGATGCGGCGCTGCACAAAAAGTTCCATGCCATGAACGTGGGAGGCATGGATCTCACCAAAGCGCTCGTTCAGCGCTTCAGGAAGAACGAGATATGGAGTGGCGGAGAGGGGAGCTTCATCGCAGTGGTGGGGCGCAAAGATGCGCCCTTGCTGCGGAGCCGGGCGAGCGAGCTGCTGAAGATTGTGAATACAGAGCTTGCGGCTGTGCCTATAACCGACGAGGAGCTGTGGAGCCAGAAGAAGCATGCAGTCACTGCCGATACCAAGGCCGTGCCCGTCGATCGATTCAAAGTGTACCTGTACATCCGGGGCAGCAAATGCGTGGGGGCTTGTTTGGCCGAGCGGATACGGGAGGCCTTTCAGTGTCTGGATGCCGGAAATACTACAGCTGAAGACGCCCGTAAGCTCCCGGCCGTGCCGCACAGCTCATCCCTGTCTATCAGCACCGAGCCAGAGCCGGCGATGCTAGGCATATCGCGTATATGGACATCGAACCAGCACCGGAAACAGGGCATTGCGACGAGGCTGCTGGACTGTGCGAGGGCAAACTTCCTCTACGGGATGCGGATTGAAAAGACAAAGGTCGCCTTCAGCCAGCCGACGGAGAGCGGCGGGCAGCTGGCGCGCAAATGGTACGGCAGACAGGCGGGATGGCATGTATATACCGACTAGGCGGGCAATGCAAGGGCCGGCGAGACATGCAGTACGTACATGGCCAGCAATGGTGATAGGTAGTGGGGTCGCTTCGCTGTCCCGCCAGATCGCCTGCGCGTGTGCGTGCATGTCGGCGCTGATCGACTGTCGGGCCCGACCATCAGCAGGGGCGCTTCTTCCACGCCGCAGACGACACCTCCCGCCTCTCACGAGTCTTTTTTCCCCATGTACATAGAATAATGCATTGTTTTTAGCCCCCCAGCATGTCGTCCGGGAACCCCTTTCGCGCCTCGCAGGCGTTTGCCCAGCCCGCGCCCGGCCCGCACGCTTCCTTTGTCAACATGACGGCCGACGTGCGCGTGTCCGAGGCTCGCTGGGGCGACAGCGACCATGGTATTATTGCCTCTGCCTTGCTGCGTTTGCTTCTGCTGGCATTGAAGGAGTAATTGTCTTACAGTGCTCGACGACGCTGCCACGCCGCCGCCCCGGACCAAGAAGTCTGTCCGCATAGTGTCTCCCACCACCACCATCCCGCCGCCCCAGCCCGACTTGGACGACGCCAGCGCAACCCTCAACGAGCTCCAGGCCCGGCGTGCGAGCCAACCGCCGCCTGCGAGCCCGCCGCCGCCTGTGACGCCCGCCGCCTTTGCCACCCACCCGCTCACGGCGGGCGACGCCAATGCGCACGTCATAGGCAAAGATGCCATGGCCATGGCAGACGCTCTGCCCGCCACTCGAGCCTCGTTCGGCGCGCCCTCGCCACGCAGCATGCCGGCGAATCCCTTTGCGAAGACGCTGGCGTCATTGGAACCGCACGAGAGGGAGGCCGGCCCGGACGAGCGGGCGCATGCGCAGCGGCTGGCTGCAGGCAACAACAACAACAACAGCAACACCAACCGAGCATCCCTCGACGTGGAGAGCTTCAAGAACCTGCTCATGACGGGGCGCCCGACTCCGCGTGCTTCCGGCCCATCTGCGCAGCCGGGAAGCGCCCCGCACTCGGCCAGCAGCGCGCAGTTTGAGAGCAGCAGCAGCACAGATGCCTCGTCCATATCACGGCAGTCGATATCCGAGCTCCCCCAAGAGACGCTCGCCGACTCGTCGCGCACCTCGGACGACACGGCAGGCGACGACGACGACGAGCACATGGGGCTGGCCGTGGAGGCGAAGAAGGGCAAGAAGAAGCCCCCGCCCGCACCAAAGCCTCGCCACGGCAAGCCGGTCGCCCCGAGACAGCCGCAGGTGGTTTCGTTCGACGACTTTGAAGCCACCGAGCCTGCGCCCACGCCAGGCATCAGGCGGACAGACAGTTCGGACGCGTACAAGCCGCTTCCGCCGACTCCGAGTGCCCACCAGCAGCAACCGCCGACACAGGGTGCCTCGCCCGATTTCACCCCGCCCCAGTCACGGCCATTGTCATTGCGACTCGATGATGTCCCAAGGCCGTCGAGCGAGCAGGCCAGGCCAAAGAAGGCGCCTCCGCCTGTACCACTAGCGCGGAGACAAAGCCAGCTGAAGTCGACGTCCCTGGAAAGCCGACAGCGCAGCAGTTCAAACCTCACCATATCCTCACAGCATTCCGTCGATCCTCCGCAAACCCCAACATCAATCAGCCATGACCCAATGTCAAGCGCAAAGTCTCCACCCCCTCCGCCGCCCTCGCGATACGGCGCGCGACTGGCCAATCTCGCAAACTCGAGCGCCAATTCCTCCAGCACAGAGCTAGCTCTCTCCTCCAGTTCCATCCGAGCACCCAGATCCCTTCCCGATCCGCCTTCGCACCGCCTCAGCATGCTCGAACTCGACGGCTCCTCATCACCAGCATCCAGCATGCACCGCACCTCTTCCGTCTCGTCCAGCCGCAACATGGCGCGCAACGTATCAGGCGGCAGCACAGGCTCCCAAATGCCCCCGCCACCTCCCCCGCGGCGCCGGCAATCCAACCGCTCCAGTTTGGATCAACCGCGCCCACTCCCAAATTCCCTGTCGTCTCCCACCGAAAGCCGCCGCACCAGCACAGAGTACCGCCGCGCCAGCCACGAGCACCGCCGCACCAGCATCACCAGCGAAACCTCGTCGCTCCACAGATCCTACGCTAAACCAGAACACGAACACGCCCTGTACTCGCCTGCGGATGAAAATGAGAGAATCCTGGAATTGCAAGTGCCGCATGCTCCTACTACTGCTGTTAACCATGCTGCTTCTACTACCGATACAGATAGTACGGTTGTGGACTCGAACACTACTGCTACGAATGCAATAGCTGCGGCAGCAAGCACGAATTCTAGTAGTATCCTCGATGATATGGAGAGGTTTCAGCGTGAAATTGAAGAGTTAAGAGTGCGGTACAAGCATGTTGCGTAGGAGCAGTGTTGTTTGACTAGAGGAGGACGAGGAAGTGGCAGGAGAGGATGGTAAGGGGAGTAGGAGGATGAACTGAGGATGAGGAGCCATCGAAAAGGCCGATGCTTACTCATGTCATGCCTTTTTTTTTCTCCCTCTCCTTTTCTTTTTTTGAATTTTTGTTAAAGCGGGATACACAGTTGCTAAGCTGTTGAGCTGTTGAGCTCCAGTGAGAGTAAGTGAGTGTGAGAGTGTGTGAGAGCTGGAAACCAATTGTAGCCAATAGCATAATCCAGGAGAGGGGTAGGGACCTTGTATATATAGTATCCAGTCAGTCAGTCAGTCAGTCAGTCAGTCAGTCAGTCAGCGAGTGAGCGAGTTACTTGAATCTTTTATTTTCCCACTCCTGGGTTGGAGTGTGTGTGTGTGTGTTGTTCGTACGTTCGTCTGTCTCATCCGTTATGTGACTGTTGGTCTATTATACATTCGTATCGTCTGTTTTGCTCGGGCCAAGTCGGGTGTGGTCTAGTACAGTCTAGTTTAGCACAGTCTCGTTTATCTGTGGATTAGAGATGAATTAGATAAAGAGTATGAGAGTATGTATATGTATATATCGGTTATGTATTATTTTGTTCGCCGTTACGAGAAATGCGAGAGAGTAAAGTTAAAGTCAGTAGTAAGGCTATAGCTACAGTGAAGCGCATGAATATATAAAAATATATTTCCTACTCTTCCTCTGTCCCTCTCGCTTACCACTTCCTGAGCAGTAGTAGGCCTACTCGACTACCTATATCTATATATATTGGCAAAACAGGACATTATACAAGTAAGTCGACAGATATACAAAAGTCATAGTTTGCAATCCTTCCCCCCTTTTTTTTCTCCCCTTCTCGCTTGATTCTTCACTTGTGCACACCTGGACTCCAGGCGCTGTCCACGTCTCACGACTGCGTTTTGGAAAATAAGCTGTGGAATACACAATGCGTAATGCATCCTATCAGAGTACATTGTGCAACGAAAACACATGTTGACGAAGTGGTTTGCTTCAGGATTTCTACTTTTGCGTTGCAGAGATGAGTTATATCCAAGTCTTAGGCTGACGATACGTACGGTAAACATGTCTTATTGTATTCTAGTATATAGGATGGAGTGCAAGTAAGTGATAGGATTTATCTAGACACGCAAAGTAACACATACATGCACTTGTGTAGTGTCAAGATATTGGAATGCAAGAATACAGTGTCGTACAAAAGTGTGTTTTCACGTGTAAATGCTTCAATCTGTCATACTCTGTCGAGACATGAACGCTTCTTAATGCAGACCACTCGTGATTTGTCTATCTTTGCAAGATTTGTTCGCGCATAGAAGTGATGCGAGTGCTGCTTATACAAGAAGTATTATGTGGAATAGACGCGGATTTTCTGTCTTTTGTAGTACATAGGTACATGGGTACATAGGTATGTGTTGTGAAAGCCGCTGCTGCCTGCGCACGTAAAAAATCACTCATAAAACAAATAAACCAAGTTTTTTTTTCCTAAAAAAAAAACACTCTCACTAATGGCTATGCTGGAAGAAGGATATAAAATATCTCGACTACAATATTCCACAGTATACATACCATTCTTCCAGTGCACTGAACCATCATCACACCTACAAAACGCGCGTATTATCCGCCGCCCGCATACACTCCTCCATCCTCCCGTCCGCAAATTCCACATGTCCCCTATAATAATGCTTATTCCCGGAAATCTCCACCGCCCATCCACTCAGCACATCCAACGCCCCCTCTCTATCCTGCACTTCTTTCCCCAGCCTGCCCGTCCCATCATCACGGCCCTGCACCAACATGCCCACCACAGACGCAACTTTCTCCACAGGTGTGTACACATCATCTTCGAACAAGTCGAATTCAGCTTGTGACAACAGCTGCGTGCGCACGATACCGGGGCAGATAGCGTTGACGCGGATACCGTGTTTCGCCCGGTAATACGGGGCGATGCCGCGCATGAAGCCCACGACGCCGTGCTTGGTGGCTGTGTACACGGGGCAGTAGCCAGAGGGGTACAAGCCGCCGCAGGACGCCGTCATGACGATGGATTTGTCCGTGGAAGACGGGGAGCGCAGCATGTAGTGGGTTGCGAGGTGCGTGGTTGTTATGACGGAGCTGAGGTTGATGGAGAGGAGGGTCTGCATGCCTTTTACAGGGAGGGGTGGCATTTCCTCTTCTTCCCCTTCCTCTTTCTTCTCATCTTCTTTTCCAAGTTTAGAATCAGTACTTGCATTCTTGTTATCATCATCAGCATCATCATCATCATCATTGATAGTAGTACTGTTTTGGCCGTGCAAATCGTAAAAGTACTGGCGCTCTCCTATCCCCGCATTCGCAAATACGAAATCCACACGCCGGTGGGTTTTAAATATGCCTGCGAAGATCCGGCCTAGCTCTTCTTCGTGCGTAATGTCGCATGCGTGGAATGTGCATTGCGCAAGGCCAGTCTGAGGTGGAGGATTGAGATCGATGATGTGAATGAGCCAGTCGCATGTTTGCGAGAGCAACTTGCACACAGCGAGGCCTATTCCTGATGCTGAAAAATGTGTGCAGTGTTAGAAATCCAGCACCGTGCATGGAGAGTGGTTGAAAGGGGATTCATGCATCCGCCTGTCACAATAGCGATTTTTGAAGACATTGTGTAGATATATGCGTAACCGTCAAATGCTACGTGTAATGGCGTTGCCAAAGACAACTTGTCCTCCCATCTCAAGCTCTTTACACGACGAAAACAAAAGCAATGCATAGGTGAGGGGCAAGACTAATTTCCCCCCACGTTCCTCACCGTTTCTCGGCCCGAACCGCAACGCAATGACAGCCAAGAGATCGGCGCCAATCATGGATACAGATGTGGTACCGGAGCTGAACTGCCACTTTAAGCGTAGTTGGCCTGGCTTCATGGTACGGGAATACTCGAAGCGGAACACTAACAACACAGCTTGGTGCCCTTCACATCCTTGAACATATGTCAACCGCAAAACGTCAAAGCAGTTACAAATGTTGAACCATTCATTACAGACTCAACGCCCACGATTGCGTTGAATCCGCTGCACTGTCATCACGCATTGTAACCACAATTAGATAGTCAAGACTTATTTTGCTATCTCACTAACTACCTGTCTGTGACTATCACCCATATCCGTCACCCAGTTACTCATGAACTACTATACATGATTGTCGTAGAGAGAAGAAAGGCCACCCAGTCATAGAAAAGATGCCATCACTAAGTGTCGCTGCCACCTAGAACATGCACGAGTGGCTGGGACGCAGTGACTTGCGAGCGACAGGCGTGTAAAATCTGGGTCCCTCAGCCTCCTCCGGCTCCGGCGTGTTGGGCGGCACCGGCGGAGGGTGCAGAGGACGAGGCTTGGGACCGCCAGGCTTCAGGAACAGCTTGTCAACGGCCAGGATCCTATGGATACAGTCGAATACAGATGGGATCTGGAACCCAGTTCCTCCTTGTCCAAAGTAGTTCATGGTGGGAAGAAGCTTAGGCGCTAGTGGTGTTTGAGTCTTTGCGGATAGAGAGGTGTCGGATGAGGCGGGAGCTCTTGTGCCACCACGTCTTGAGACAGTCGATGATGCGTTGCTTGCGGTAGTCAGCTGCTCGCATGCCCTCCGCGTCGCGGAAGGTGTGGCGGTTGGCTTTGGCCGCAGAGCTGAAGGCTTGTGCTTCGCCGGCACTGTCTTGGACAATGGAGGCTGCTGATGGTCCCGTCGACTCGGGAGGAGCTGGGTCTTGGTTAGGCTTGCCTCGGGCGGCTCGAGAGTGTGGTGGGTTGTGGAGCGTACTTTTGTGGCTTGATGAAAAGCGCTTGCGCAGCGAGAGCCTGGTCTTGCGAGACGTGTCGTAGTACTCGTCGTCAGACGTGTCAGAGGCAGACAGGTGGTCGCGGAAGATGGCTGTAGGGGGTGACAAGGCAGACGTGGGGTAGCGCTCTCCTACTTCGTGCGGCTGGTCGTTGCTGCGGCCAAAGCTGCTGAAGCGGTGTTGGCGAGCGTGTGCGGTGCTGTCAGCGGGCGAGCCAAAGGGCGACGCTGTGGCAGTCTGTGCAGTCGAGAAAGAGCTCGCACTCGACGCTTCAGAAAGCCTGTTGCGGAGATGCGAAGGACCGGGGCGAGGCGAGTGCTTCGCGGCCGTGGGTGGTGGGAGTGAGATGTCAATCGAGGGGTTTGTTGATGTTGTCCAAGGATAGTTCTTGTCCGAGTTCCAGGGACGCGTCTCGGTTGCCGTGGGCGTAGAGACAAACGACCTCAATGACCTTCTCGATGACAAAGCAGACTCTCCTGAATGGCGGCGGCCTTGAAGATTGACTGTGTTGGAGCGTGGGCGGAGGAAGACAGGTGAGGGTCCTTGCAGCTTGGGAAGCGGAGCAGTCTCGTGCTGTGTTGGCGGCGTCGTCACGCCTTTGCCCTTCTCCGACTCCCCCCCAATTGAGCCTGCCCCACTAGCGTCCGTTGCTGCAGCACCCTCGTCCATAGCACTTGCAGCATTCTTCTCCTTCTCCTTGCCCTTCTCCTTGCCCGTCATCTCTTCATAGAGGTCATCGTCAATGACAACCATGTGCGAGACACCACGGATAGGCCGCAGACGAGCAGACGAGCGCTTCTGCGTAGGATGCACCTCATGGATCTCCTCGATTGCATGCTTCTCAATCTCTTCCTCGACCGGAAACTCTGCTGATTCACCGCACTTGTAATACTCCCTGAGCGACGGGAAGAACTCGGAGAAGCGCTGAGTAAGTCCCCCTACCGAAGGTATCGTCAGCCGCTCAATCTCCGCCATGAACTCGGGCGAGCGAGCACCATGCATAGCTAACAATCCCATCATGGTATTAGGCTGCATCGACATCCTCGAGCGCTCAACCTCTTCGAGCTCAGCAAGCGAAATCTGCAGGCCCTTTACATCACCAGCCGATGCAGGCCGCGGCGGATTGGCTCTACTCAGTCTCTGCGAGACATGGGCCACCTCCTCCATCGAACGAGAGTACCGCAGGCCAAGATCATCAGACAGTCCGTCAAACAGATTGATCCGGCTGAACCGCATCGAAGGCAAGCCGTGCGTCTGAGCGAGCGCGCCACCGACACTGCTGTCCACGCCACTGCGCCGACACGACGCCCTCGACGATGACCTCCTCGAGAAGTTGATCAAATCCTCACCCGAAGCCCGAATACCCGATGGAGCTCCAAATGGGTATCGAAAACTCGAGCTTTTCAGGTTACTGGCACTGGTGTTAAGACTCGAGTCTTCGTGCGACTCCTCCTTCAGGTCAGGAAGATAACGCGACGGACCAGGGTAGCGGTACCTCGAAAGCCTTAGATCAGTTGTACTGTCCTCTTGGCTGTTGGTCAACGGTGCCAGAGCCAGCGAGTCAAGGTGAGATCCAATACCATTCGACGGGCGCAATGACATCTGCTGGGAATCCGGGGCTGCGCAAGGCTGTCCATAGTGGTGCCATTCCAGATGTGTAGTAGTCTGGCTGTCACGTCGATTGCTATCTGAAGAGGTAGGGACAACATGCGGACAAGCCTCTTCGTGGCTGGGGGAAGAATGATCCTGGATCGAGTATACAGAGGACGGCTCTGGAACCACAGGCGACATACTACCCGGAGTTTGCTGATCTTTCTCGGGAGCTGGGCTGTTTCCAAAAGCCTTGTGCTGGTTATCGGCCTCCGGAGGATCAAACCTGATGACTCGTGTCTTAGGAGGTACCCCTGTTGGTGTCAAAGACACCTTTTCGATGAGCTCTTCAGCATCTACAGTCGACGGTGACACTGGTACATCTTTAGAAGCGGCACCACCGTTGGTATCCTGTGGAGATGCGACTGTGCACAGAACTGTCTCATCCGACTTTGGAGTATCATCCGCGTCAGCGCGCTTCAGGCCTTTGGCAAATCGGGACGGCAGAGGACGCATCAAGAAAGATACTGCAGCATGTACTCGCTGAGCTTCCTTGGACACACTCGAGTCTCGTTGAGGTACTACCAGTGACGGATGCGTAGTACTCAGCGTAGAAGAAGATCCCGAGGCCGACAAGGAACTCTTCCTGACGCTTGTTTTCGAGTTTGGCCGAAGCTTGTTTGCTACAGTCGAGAAGCTTGACTCCCGACGAGGTACTGGAGGCTGCTTGCGAGGTACGACTGCAGGCAACCCGGAAGACACATCGGAACTGGTCTTGTTCTTTTTCATAACCATTGTCCCTAAACTTGGCAGAGGGAGTCGAGATGGCGGTACAAAAGCTTCACAATCGGGGCCAACAGCATCACTGGTTGTCGAGAAAGAGCAGGTTCCAGATTCCTTCGGATGTTCCTCTCGCTTGCGCAAGGTGTCAGTAGCTGACCCGGAAGATCCGACACAGTCTTTCTGCGAGTCGGACAGCGCTCGACCAGATGGTTCTTCCAGCATGTCTGTACAAGACTTGAAAGATTGATCGTCCGACGGTTTATGAGCATGGTTGCTTGTGGATGGTATGACAAGCGGCAACGGCTTCATGACATCCTCTGTACCAGTCGCTGTATGCTCCTCTGCATGCGTCTTTTTCTCGGAATTCGTAACATTTCTGAGCAAATCAGTCTCGCACTTGGAATCGCCCCCCTGGTAGCCGGCTAAGACATCGGTCATCCCATCCTCGGTACTGCGTCCAGGACTCGCAGCCATGTTGGCATCCCTCCCAAACTCACGTGCAACCTCTTCTCCAAACCCACCATTCGTGGCTACTGGTATCGAATGCCTGACCGCGAAATTGAGAGTCGACGAGTCAAGAATGCTCGATCCAGCCTGCGAGAGAATGCTGTAGCGGTTCTCCTTGTTCTGCGCCGAGTGCAACGACGTCCTGACTTGCCCATCGGCTGCCGAGTGTGGCTTGACCGGAAGATCAACCGACTGAGTACGTTCACTGTCCACTGAAGTATTTGGAGACTTGGCCAAACTCTGGATATCGCCCGTCGTCGAAGCCTCCAGACCTTTTAATATCAAATCCCTGGTAATACGCCGAGCTACCGGTGACGCTGGAAGCTCTGCGATGTTGGCCGGCTGCGCCATGCTCGGATTGTCCGTGCATGTCGCGACGTTTGCGTGGTGGTTTGCGATGTTGTTTGGGTTGGGAGACACGACCACCATCGACATTGGCTGTGCCTCTTGCTCTAAAAAAGAATCACTGTTCAATGCCGCCACGCCACTCGCTGGGACGCACTGCTCGATGACGGTCCGATCTACGAAGCCTGTGGGAATGGCCCTGGTGTCCGGCTGCGCGTACTCGTCGTGATCAAACTGCTCACTGTAGTCGTAGTACGCTACAGACGTCTTTTCTTCAGAGACGATGAGTTTGTTGGAACCCATGGTGCGAAGATCCACTGCCTTTGTGCCATCCCGGTTGTGCAGCAACTCTATGTGCGTGCCGTCCCTTGGCGTCGGAGGCGAAGTCATGTCAGACGACGGAACATCGGAATCGGCACGCAAGTTTGTCGAGCCGCTGGAAACAGAGCCTGGCGCAGGCCTCTTGCAGCGAGCGTGCTCAACCGCGATACGATGCTTGTGGTTTGCTGGCAGAGGCGGCGCTTCCGAGCGATAGTCATGATATCTGCTTGCCACTCGGTCACGGCGAAGGTGAGGATTGCCACTATGCAGACCCTCTATCTGCTCATCGTATGCCATGCCGTCATAAGGGGGGAAATTATCCTCTTCCTCGCGCCGGTCTTCAAGACTCAACAAGGATGGCTGAGAGGGAAGTCTGGTCCTCATCTGCCCTACGTTGTGCGGGTTCCCGAGGCCACGGTATTGCTGCCCCTGTCCTCCGTTTTGTTGGCCTCTCTTTCTGTGAGCGCGTCCCATGTTGGCGTAGGCCTGGCCGTAGCCACCGTTCGATAGTCGCTGGTCTTCAAGGCGGTGTGAAGCCCGTGGGCGCATGCCGGTATTGTCGCTCAGGGCGGGTGAGATCGGACGGTGGTTGGAGTTCATTGGCATGAGCCCAGCACCATAAGAGCCTGGATAGACATATGGGTTCTGGGGATGCGAACCATGCGCCGGGCGCAGGCTGGTAAGGGACCTGTTGCTCGAGAGTGCGTAAGGAGGATGCATGCTGTTTGTCATTGACCGCGAGCGCTGCGGATCTCTGCTGCGGTTGCCCAACTCGTCAAAGGACGATGGTGCAGTGCCGTTCGGCATCGGCGGCGTAAGGACATTCGCGACATACTGCGGACCGTGTGGCCCTGTTGAGTGTCGGGGTGCCGACGACGACGAAGGATATCCACGGAAGTGCTTGCTAGCTCCGCTCGAGGTGTTGGACATGGACGAAGCTGTCGACATCCGGCTGGGGGCGCGATGCCGCTGCAGAGTGCGATGCATGCTGCCGACGCCAGACAAGTCGTCCAGGACAACGCCGCCAACATTGCCCATCTCCGTCTCGGTGCGGAGCATCGAGGAGACGCCGCGGCCGACGAGAGCTGGGAAGTCAGAGCTTGGTGGTCGTTGTGCGGTTTTACCTGACGTCCGACTCAGAGCAGACACGTTGGAGGCTCTCGACGTGCGGCCGCCGCCATTGGGGTCTCGATCGGAGAGCATCGTGCTGCGGACAGTGGGGTATCGCTGGAGAAGAAGCAGACAGGGGAGACTGGCGTGGTGCAAACAGCGACCCCGTGCCGGCTTCTGTCTTGTTCGTGGGTGGGTCGGGCGAGGTGGTGTCGAATGATGTACGAGCTATGGGTATGACCAGAAAGAAAAGGCGATACTGCACGGAGAGGCAAATATCCAAGAGAGACGGCAGCGAGGGAGGTTTACGCCATACTCACCAGCATCTCTGCAGAAAGGCGAGTGGTGTTGTGAATATTGGAATGTTGTGGCGGGGGAGGACGAGCAGACGGGAGAGGGAGTTTGCGGAGACGCTGTTTTGATAGCGGCCTCGCGCCTACTTCACGTCTACCACAACTACAACCTGCTCTCTCCACAACAGCCTGACGGGAAGGGACAGACGGACGAGGTAAAGGCTATCAAGAAGACGGAAAGAAAGGCTGAAGCATGCATGCTAATGAAACTGGTTCCTACTTACACCATGTGTACTGCCCTCCTGGGTTTCTTGCCGCAGCCAAGGACGATATCAGACACGACCACACGACCGTCAACAATGTCAAGGGCTGCCATTCCGCCTCTCTGCTCAGCGACTGTATGAAAATCCTCTCCCGAAATAGCCACCCATGTACAGCGCCAAACTCCATCCCTGCGAACAAGCGCTCTAAGCAAGCAAAATGGTTGAGACCAACCCCGCCGAACTCATCCGCGCAACGGTGTCGTTCTCACCAGCAAAACCCGCACGCAAGACAAGACCCGATCCGCATAGCTCGTTGCAGGAACAAAACGAAAGAAGAAAAAAAAATCGAAAAGCGAGAATACAGAATATGTACAATGGAAAGATTCAGCCGACGGCCCAAAGTTGCCGACCAACGACCACCACGACAGAGACGACATTGTCGGAAATGCACAAAGCGAACAGACGCGGTCAAAGGGGTATATAGCCATGCAACGTCATACAAGTTCAAGGAATTGCACATGATGGAAGGAGAAGAAATGGAACGGAGATCACTCGGCAATAGATTCTATATCACCCGACTTCTTTTTTGTGAAGAGACGCTTGAGCGAGGTGAAGCTACTCCGCTTGGACAGCCGCTTGGGCAACACATCTGCATAGCTAGACAAGGAGGTATGAGGACGGTGGGGCAAGTCGGCCGGCTTCAAAAACGAGTCGGACTGCTCGAGAGCGGGAGACGCTGCTGTGCTGCCGAGTTGATTGGAAGCCGGACTCTTTGGAGCGCTAAGGTTTCTGCTAGGAAACAGGCCAAACTGTGCCGTTTGTCGCGACGACATGGACGAGGCTGAACGCGGCGATGCATAATCGGGCGACATGGCCGACGCACTAGAAACAGAAGAGTAAGCAGAGTCCTTTCCGGTCAAAGGAGGACTGCAATCGTCATTGCCTGGTTTCGCGTACGTGTGCCTTGTTGCCGACGATTGCTCTTCTGCAACCAGATTCGATGGTGCCGAGCTCTGTTGGTGTCCCGCGAGTTGGTGTGTGCTACGGGGCTTTGCCAGCGGTGTGGCTCTTCCACGTTGGTCGTCGTTGTACCAGAATTCCTGGTAAAACTCGGGCTGGTCCGCCTGCCGCCGGCCCTCTACGTCGGCAGTGGATTTGGCGGATACGGATGACGAATCTTCGCTCCGCTTTGGTGTCTCTGTGGCAGAGTCGGGTGCATTCGCCGTTTCTGGGTGGTGCTGAGTTTTGGCCTTGATGGTCGACTGTCGCTGGGGGGTTCCCAGGCTCGCTGGCGTCTCGCGGCCTGAAGACGAAGCACTCATAAAAGGCGGGCGCTCCGGAGGCGGCGTAGGCAGAGGTTTGTTGTTGGCGAAATTTCGGAATGAGCGGCCATCACGCGAGTTGGACGAGTTTCGCGACGATGTTCGCGTTGCAATCTACACATGTGAGCGCCACGAAACGCAGTGGAAACATGGACGGAGGCGTCTTACCAAACTTCGGCGACTAGCGGCACCACAACGCTTTTCGATTTCATTGCAGTAGCTGCTGACTTGCACAAGCACAACACCCAGTCGCTCTGCTTTGGCGACGAGGCTCTGCAAGAACTGCGACCAGCCGCCCGTGTTGCCGCACATGGCAGAGTATATCCGGCCAATGTCCTCATTTCGATATGTCCATGCGTCGCCCACGTCGGCCAAGTACATGTCGAGCTCCTGGTTGGCCTCTCGGAAGACGTTGATGTCGATGAGATAGTCGTTGAGCAGCGTCGACATGCGGCCAATGGTGCGTTCGATTACCACGTTGCCTTCGAGGAGCTGGGCGCGATACGAGCGGTCTTCGAGCAGGCGGTCGAATTCGTTGACGTGCTCCATGGGGACCTTGAGGCACTTGTGGCGGAACAGCATGTCCTTCATGCTGCTCTCGAGGTCCTCGTTGGCACGCTGCAGGAAGCTGTCGAGCTCGTTGACATGCTTGAGCAGGATGTCGGCGACATCGGCCACCGACTTTTCCAGGTGCTGGTGCAGCAGGTGGACGCCGAAGATGATTTGCGCAATCGTCTTGGTCAGGGTGTGGAACTTGCCCTGTGGGTTGTGTCTCCAATGGCAGCTATATGTAAAGTTCCACGAGGGCTCGAGGGCCTTCTCCTCTCGGCACAGCAATTGCTGACGGGTCTTGACCCCCTTCTTGGGGCTCACAAAGGGGACATGGCCCGTTTCGCCGGTGGCATCGAGCATCGACTCCTCAAAGGGCGCCTGCATCGAGGCGATGGGATGGATGGGGAAGGTGGCCGTCATGATGCGGTTATCGCGCTCGTCTTGCCATGCGTAGGCGTTGCGCTCGTCGAAGCTGCGGCGGCTTCTCTGGGACGGGCGCCGCAGAGGGACCATGGTGATATAGCGACGGGGGGGGGGGGGGAGGGCAGAGAGGGCGCCCCCAAGGGCCAAGCGGGAGCGATCAGCTCGCGGGACGTTTGTGATACAAGGACACTCCAAGTCTTTGTCTCACACCAGACGGGCCCTGGGCGTGAATGGACACGGACGGACGCGCGACGGAAATGGCGATAGCCGAGGTGTCGTGGGGGGGGGGACGGTGTCCACAGGGGTGTTTCTAGTGACGACGCATCCTGGGGGCTCGCATTGTGGGGATGAAGGTTAACGGCGGCGCACGCAGGGGGGATGGCAAATGTTCAGAGAATCGGAGACGGCGGAAAGCAGACTGAGTGGACACGGTCGTGGACGTTTGGGACCCCTTTGGTTCGTTCAAGTCATCGGGCCACAGGCCACAGATGACCCCGGGACCTGGCCGACTGACGGGGGGGCTGCTGGCGCTGCTGGGGCTGCTGGCGGCGACGACGTCTGCAGAGGGGGGCGGCGCTAGCGTGTTCGCGGCCTAGCGCGCCGCCTAGGGCCCGGGACGGCTAGCGGCTGGCGAGCGCAGGCAAGGGCGGGGGAACCCGTCGGGCCTCTCCACCATACAGCAGCCATCACGACTAGCACGACCAGCACGACTAACACCACACTGACAGGCCTCCAGCCTCCAGCCTCCCGCATCCACACGCCCACGCCCCCTCTGCTGCGCTGTTGCACACGCCCGCACCCAGCCCGACACGTGCGCGCCGCCCCTGCCCGCCACCTGCCACGCCCGCCCGCCAGCACGCCGTTTGTTTTTTCAGCTGGGCCCCCTCACCCCCTCCCTCCCCAAGGCGCGCGCTACAAGACGCTCTGCAGCCGCCAGCACCGCCCAGACGACGCGTGGGGAGCTCTGCGCCGAGGGGCACGCCGAGGGGCACGCCGAGGGGTAGCGGTGCTGCAGCTGTCCGCTGCCGCCCGCCCTGAGCGACTAGGCGCTGCACGTCGACCTACGCAGATGCTTTTTCTTCGCCCTATCGCCGAATTGCAGGCCCTCGCACTGCTGATCGCGGCCCTCGAGGGCTTCCGCCGCAGCTGAAACGGCAAAAGCGCACCGCCAACGTCATCGCCCAGTCCAGACGGTGCCTGGACCATGGCTGCTCAAAGGTTCAAGAGCACACGGCGACAGTGTGCTGGGCCCAACCGCCGCCCATCGCCTTCGCCAATTCTCTTCGCCGTGTCAGCGACGCCGCCGCCTCCGCCGCCGCCTCACCGTGCGCCCTCCCCACCATGGCCAATGTGTATGCATACATAGTATAGTACACACACACAGCAGCTGTGTCGATGGGACGTTTGGGCAAGTTTCGCGCCAGACGAACAAGCTTCCATCCAACTGTTTCAGATGCACAAGACGCCTTATCAAACATGGGGAATCCATGCCACCCATCACTAGGCAGGGCGCGACGAGCTCGCTAGCCAAGTTTCGCAACGACATACATGCTGTAGTACAGCCAGACGCGTCATAATGCGTCAACTGCGTATAAGCCCTCCCTCATGCTCTGCACGACAGTGATTTGAGAGAGCATTCCGCACACGTGCAAACCCGTCCAAAGTCCGATGCTTTTTTTTTGTCATGACTCACAGTCCTCAGGTACCACGTCGCATTGCAAAACGGATCCATCGCCAAGTGAGGTCGTCGCCAGAGGTGTTGAGGAGAGGATGGTGTGATCGGCTTAGATGAGCTGACTCTGCACCCAACTTTGCCAGCAAACGTCGGATACTCAAGGTCAAAACAACTGCCTTGCATGCAGCGCATCATGTGAAGATTCCAGACTCCTTGGCCATCTGCCGATTCCAACACAAGAATGCACGGAAGATGCAGGGACCGACTCTACCGTCAACCTGTGCCTGAGCGCAACGGCGCATATGCATATGCACATATTACAATTCTCCTCTGCTCCGTCTTGCTTTTCGACTCTACCACCCCCGCCATCGCACCCACACATCAACCACAGTCTCACCACCCTGATCCGAGTCGACGATAAGATACCACCCAAACCCTGCCCCCGCCACGCATGCATGATTCGGCCACACCATGATCTTGTCTCCAATTGTCAGCTCATTGCACTCCCTCGTATCGCCCTCCCATGTCAAAATGCCATGTTCCTGGCTAATTCGCCCAACAATCCATCCTGTCCTGCCGTCTTGCTCGTCGTAAATGTGCCTGGCGGAAGAGTTGCCCAGCGCAGGCGTCACAATACCCCATCCTGGGTAGGATTTGCATGGCTCGCGCCCCATGGCGAGCGAACCGGCGGAAACGAGGGCCTCGGGTTTCGATCGCTCCTTGTATACACTCGTTACCTCAACCAGCATCCGGATGCCGATGTTGGACTTGCCGAGTGGCTGAAATGCTGATGTCACGGGGGTAGATGAAGTGGGCGGCCTCGCATGTGTAGCAACTTGCTGACAGTCGAGCAGTGGGTACACGCCCGCATGCAACTCAACCCGATGCCGCTCTTGAAGCCGAGACAGCACTGCCTGAAACTCTTGAACACGTGGAGACGAAGAGCTGCAAATCATATTCTGTGCCGCTGTCGCAGTAGGCGTCGCACCTGCGCTCAGTACAAGCTTGCCATCGAAGCTTGCTGGCACAGCTTTCGTTGCTTCTTCCAGCCCGACCAGCTCTTCGATCAACCCATTTGCGGCATCTTCCTCCGACGACCCGGCGTAGCTGTGGCCAAAGTGGCTGTAAAAGCCTTTGAAGAAGCACTTTGACCCTTGTTCTTGGCTCTTCGCCACGATCGTCTCAACGAGCGAGGGAAAGGCCGGAGAAGTCGTCTTTACACCAGCGCGCTCATAGCCTGTATCGATCTTGACAAAAACACCTAGTTGCACCTCGCTTCCTGAGACATGGAGGCATTTGGCGAATTTCAGGAATGCTTCGCGGTTGTCGATAAGGACATGAATGGACCGTGGCTTTAGTTTCTCAGCCAAGGAAATGAGGCGCGGGATCCCGGATTGCGGGACAGGGACGCCATACAGGATCTACATGTATGACGTTAGGAGGAGGTTGTTTCTCTAAGTTTTCTTTTCTTTTCACTTTTGTGCATTCTCGAATGACGACACCGATAAAATGGAAGCCCAAACGTCGGCGACGTAAGGAAATCAATGCTATGCAACGTAGTCAATTTTCAAAAAAAAGGAGGGTATCTGAAAGAAAAACAATCAAAAGTCAGGAAAAGAAAGCGGAGAGGTGAAAAAGGAGAGAAAAAAAAAGAAGGAAGACGAAAAAAGAAATAACCACGTACACTCGCCTCCCTACCCCCCTCTTGCGCCCCCCGCACAAGCTCCAAGAGATGCTCCGCTTCCACAACCGTACTCACAATAAACTCGGCCGCCCCGTCCCCGTCCTCGCCAACCTGCAGCCGCGACAGCTCCACCGTCTTGTGGCTTTTCACGTGTGCTCGGAATCCCACGCCTAGCTGCTTGCACACCTGCAGCATGGCGTCGCAGTTGCGCTTTACCACGGCGCGGTCTAGCACTATGGCTGGCGTGGGCAGCGAGGTGAGGGGCTGGTGCAGGAACTGCGATGTGAGTGCTGTGCGGGAAGGGAGAGGGTAGTTTTGGACATGGAGGGGTGTTGGGTCTGCCATGTTTGGGTGCTGTGTGTGTGTGCGTGGTATGGTAGCGGAAAGCTGTCGTCGTTGCTAATGGACCAGTTGTATGAGCGGCGTGCAATACCTCCTTCGCTTGTGTCTGTATGTTGTGTGCGTGTTGTCGTGTTGTTATATCGCCAAATGCAAGAAACAAAACCAACCAGATAGATGGATAGATGGCTGGATCTTTTCCCCTCTTCCTCTCCCACCTTTTATACCCCCAGCATATATATATATATCCGAATAGCGATAACAGAGTAAAAAACAAAACAAAACTAAACAACAGTTCGAGTCACGCGTCTTGCTTCCTTCTCGTCCTTACTCTTTCGTGCTCGTCTGGTCTCGTCTGGTGCGCTCCGGTCCTTGCTATGTAGAGAGGTCAAGTTCCTCCTCCTCGCCCTCCCCCACTACTTACTCACGAAAAAGCTCGTTTTAGGCTTAGCTCTTCCATCTGACCCCACCCCGCGGTCTCTGCTGTATCTGCCGCACCCACACCGGACAAACAAAGTGCGGGCCCACGATGACGATGAACGGGCCGCGCACGCCCCAACAACAACTCCGAATGATTTTTTTCCCTCCCCCAAAGGCCCGTTTATTTTTGGGGAGGAAGGGTGGAAGGAGGGGGGCGGGGGGGGGGGTGCAAAAGTTATTCGTCCTACCACTAAGCGGCTATCTAGCCTACTACTTAGTAGAGGTCTACATTAGTAGGCTTAGCTAAAATATTAGTAGTATTTTATATCACTTACTATAATATAGCTATACTATAGTAAGTTTTAGTATATAAAGATAGCTAGTATATTAATAAAAGTTTAGTAGTATTATATAGCTAAAATAGAAGTTATAAAAGTAAAAAAAAGTAAAGCTTAAAAACTAGCTATATTACTTAATTTTTAGTATTTCATATAGCCTAAAAACAAGCTTAAAATAAGCTTTTAGCTATTTACCAAAAAAGCTATAGCTAGTATAGTATGATAATTATATTAGCTAACTATAATAAGGCTTTTAATTATTATTATACTTTTGACTACTCAAGTTTAATAGTAAATTTAGGTAAAGAAGTAAGTAGTATAAAGAATAGAAATATTATATGATAGCTAAGTAGGTAAAGTAGCTAAAATAGGCACTTAGAGGCTTATTTTAAAGCCTTATTATAAGGCCTTTAAAAGTAGAGCTATACGCAAGTAGTAGTTAAAAAATTGGGTAAGTAGCTAGGTAGTATAGTAGTAGTAGAAGCTAGTAACTTAGCTAGTAGCTTAGCTAGTAGCCTAGTAAAGCTATATAAGGCTACTAAGATAGCTATAGAGTAGCTATTTTAGCTAAAACTTAGTAGTATAGCTAAGCTTAGTAGTAGTAATTAAGTGCTAAAAGCTATAGTAAAGGTAGTATAGTAAGCTACTTTAGTAGCTAAGCTTAAATTACTATTGAAGCTAGTAGAGTAGCTAGTAAAGTTACTAAATTATTAGTATTTATATACTTAAAAAAGCTAAGCTTATAGTGTAAGGGGCTCGACCCCGGAGGGTAGTCTTAAGCTCGGGAGCACGATCGGACAGGCCAAGGTAACAAGATTGTATTCGATAGAGAGCTAAGCTCTCGGCTACGTAGCTATCTATATACAATGCTGGTTGCTAGGGTAACAATCGGGCCAGGCAGGTGGAGTAAACGAGGTCGTAGACGCGTATGGGAGGCGAAGGGCGTTCAGCCCGTTACATATAGTACTAGGTTCAGCTTTTTTTATATTATTTTTTTACTTATTATTATTATAAAATTAGTATAAGCTTAAAAAGCGTTTGAGTAACTTTAACTTTTAAAGCTTAAAATTAATCAATTTATGAATATATATTAAAATTTAATAGCTAAAGTATTTTGAAGTTAAAGTTAAGCTTAGTAAAAAGATATTAAAAAAGTATCTCAAGTAATAGCTTATACTGATTAGTATAAGCTAAAAGCTAGAAGCTGGGTTTCTATATCTTTACTACTTCTACTTAAGCTATCATAAGCTATTCTATAGTTTCTTAGAATAACGTGGTTCACAAGTGAGTCGCTAACCCAAGCGAGTCGCTAACGCCCCACCACTACATCTACATCAACACGTTATCACAGTTTTTTATCACAGTCAATAAACTATTGCAATATACCAAATTAATTATCAGAATCGCTACTATCACTTGCACTATCTATCTCAACTACGCAGGTACGAGCGTTGTGTCCAGTCTGCTTGCAACGCCCGCACCGCCGCTCTCCTTGCACCCTCTTCGACGCACTCTCACCATCACCACGACTGCTACCCGCCTGTTTAGCTAATACTTCTTGTACTTTGCCTACAGTAAGAGTCTCTTCTGTCCGTACGTATCGCCGCTTGCGGCTTTTACGCTTATTTGACTCGTCAAGAGCCGCTTGAAGCGTACCTATTTCCTCCATCATAAGCGTCATTTTATGTGCCATTTGCTGGGCCCCCTTACTTAGCTGCGCGATCTGCTTAGTGAGTGAATTGGCAGAAGATCTACGGCGTTTTCTTATGCTCTTTTGAATGAGACTAATTTGAGACTTAACTTCGCGCGCGTTGCGTGGTGTCTGCGCCTGCTAGGCAGCTACCCGTCGTGGTGATTGACGAGGTGTCTGCACCACTACATCAAGCTTAGATAGCACAGCCTGTGGGTCGTGTGGGACTAGACCAGCACCTCTAAAGCTAGCTTGGATATTCTCCTTCGTGATAGACTGCTCAAAAGCAGTCTTAAAGGCTGGTAGGAAGGTCTCTTTGCTGATATAGTGGGTGCGGTTGCGTGCCAAGCCTGAAATAGCGTCGCCATACTTGCGCTTCAACGGCGAGAAGCAGGCGACGTCAAGGGGCTGCAACAGGTGAGACGAGTGCGCAGGCATGCAGAGAAGCACAATATTCTTCTCCTTGCAAAGATCTTGAAAATCGATAGAGCAGTGGCTCTCATAGCCGTTAATAATAAGCAGTCGATACCCACCTACAGTATGCCTCTTTGTATGGGTATCAAAGTGCTCTAACCAGGCAAGACCAAGCTGATTATTCGTCCAGCTATTAGGACTGACTTCAAGAACCTAGTTGGCAGGCAAATCCTTAAACTAGACGTTGATAAGCACCTTGCCCGCAAAGACAACGAAGGGTGGTATTCGGCGACCCAACGCGCCCACGCCTTAGATCACAGTAACCCACTCACGGTTGCCTGGCTGTATCTGCTTCTTTTTTCTATATTCTTCTAATGCTGTGATAACTAACTGTAATAAAATCTTGCACATCATAAAGCTAGTCTCGTCAAAGTTATAGATATCGTCGTCCACAATACCCCACTTCT